ACTCTTTGACTTATTTATTCCATCTAAAATTTTTTCCAGAATATGAACCCAATTAAGTGACTTATTTTGAGCAAAGTATCTGTAAAGTCGTTGCTTTACATTTCTTATGGCTCTTTCAGCTACTGCAGCTTTAACAGTTGAATGAGTAGCCTCTAATTTTTGAATCTCCTCTTGAGCAAAATATTCCTTGACAGTTTTATTTTTGAATTCTAACCCTTTGTCGGAGAATATCCTATGAGGTTTCATAGGCATTTGACCAATTAGTTGTTTAAATGCCTCTAACATATCCTTTGAACCCTTTGATTTAACTGGGACGCCAAAGAGTCGTTTGGATAGAACATCAACTCCTAGGAGAATATACTTATTTCCTTTGTTATGTCTAGAGAGAGCCTGCATGTCAGCCAAATCTACTTGTACATCTGTCATAAAACCTGCCGCTACAGTTTTACTTCTAGGAAAATGTATTCTTTTTGGACGCATAAGCGTATATGTCCTATGCCCCTCCAAATAGTCTTGTACAACTTTTCTAGGTAAGTATTTGAGAATTTTACGTGCTTCATGCCATAACCTATCAACTCCAGAAAAGGCAGCAGGTGAATCTGGGTTATTGTAAAGTCGATTTAATAGCTGGGTGGGGTCGGCCATTTTTACCAAAGCGTTGGTTTAAATCTTTTTATACCGGCTTCTTTACGTTTAGCTTTTATAAGTCTTAGCATCCATTCTCTACCGGCTTTTGCTGATTGAATTTTTGTGACAGGTTTTACTTTTTTCAGGGCAATTAGAGGACTTTCGTCTGGACCTTCCCATTTTCTTTTTAATTTTAGACGTCTTTGAATATCATCGTCCTTACGAGTTTTAACTAACGCTGATTGATCAATTGGAACCCTTTGCTCTCTAATATTTAATTTTCTTTCTAAATATTCCCTTCTTTTCTGTTCACGTTTTAATTTTGCTTCATGGTGTTCATCATATCCTTTCTTCCATCTCTTTGTACCTTCAAACTCTTCTGACTGTCCCCTTTTTGTAATTTGTCTAGTTGGAGGAGAGTCAGATACAAGGGGAGCATCAAGACCTTCAGGAATAGTTGGGATGGGAGGAGATGGAGGAAAATCATCATCAATAGGAGCATTATATTCAGGAGTATAAGGAATTTTCCAATTTTTCAACATCTTTTTCCTTTCTAAATTTTGCTTTCTACTCCTAGCCTTTTCAGAAAGTTTCATATACTCATCTCTTCTCTCATTTTCGTAATTACTCAAATGTCGTCTCTTATTTTGTCCATAATCATCCTCCTCAATTTTTCTCTTGATTTTTTGTCTAAGTGTAGGAGGAGTGGGGGAAATTCCGCTCCTTAATAATTTTCTATGGCGACCTTTGGGTTCTACTTGCTCGTTTGGAGAATTTGGTAAAGGAGGAACAATATTATATGATAAGGCTGGCGGCTCTTGTGGGTACGCTGAATAAGAAAAATCATCGCTCATCCATAAATCATCGTTATCGTCTGTAATATTTGTTGCGGGTCTAATAACATCTCTATTCATAATTGCTCCTTTGGGGTTAGCTACCATTTCAACTCTAACAGGTTTATTCTCACTTTCATTCCTTAGTTTAAGATATCGTCTAAGTTCTTGGTTATAATGAATATTTTTGGCAGAGAGGTTTTCTTTTTTACTTTTAGCATTCTCCACCGCTCTCTTTGTGAAATCTAAATTTGGGTCCCCATAATTATTTGAAGTAAGCCCTCTATAAATCTCTTCTGGAACAAGAATTAATTTTTTTGCCATTTATGATTGATTTTAATTATTTTGATAGGCTTTTATACTAATTGCTCGAGCTAGTTCCATTAGAATAGGAGTGAGAAGAGCAGCAAATACTCCTACTCCTTCACCTTTTTGCCTCAGAACTTTTCTTGCTCCCCGTTCACTCCTAGCACGACTCATTTTACGAATAAATTCCGCATGTGGTAATAAACGGTTCTTTTGACGAGTGTTAAGATTAAAACGGGATTTTACAATATTCAAACAAATTTCAACAATGGATAACAACTGACTAGTATCAGCTTTTCGTAAAAGTTTTTTATATCTCCTTTCAGATTTTGTATGCGCTAAAAAGCGTAAAAAATCTTTATTCTCACAAATTAATTGACTAAACATTTTTGGAAATGAAAATTATCTTCTCTTCGTCGTCCTTAAATATACGTGTACGTAGTCTAAGCGCAGGGTCTGAGGATGCATGTAAATCAATGAGTAAATATCCGTATGGCTCACTTGTTGCCTGTTTGTACGCATCAAGGAAATAATCGAGTTGACGTGGAAATAGCTGTACTCCAATATTTCTCACAGAGAGTGCAGAATTCGGCGACCTCATCAAAACAATATACTGTGCATTTTGACGAGCGACCTTAATCTTTTTCTCAAATAGGTTTTGGGTTACAAAAACAACTGCAAAATTCTGATGGTGGGACTTTTTAGTGAATAATTCTGACAAATACTTTTCATCTATAGACAGGAGCAAATCGTCTAGAATTAGGAGCAAAGGTTTTGAATAGCTTTTTATTAGCTCCTCTGGGGGAACTCCTGCATATACATTAACTCCTGACTTTTGAAGAATGGGGATATTATCGTTCATCTCCCCAAAACAATACAGTACACTTTTTGGAGGGGGATCGATCAAATCTTGGGAGTCTGCTATAAATTTTAATAGGAATGGGCTCTTCCCACTAGAGCTTGGACCAGACAAAATCATACCAAAAGGTAATTTAAAATACAAATCTTTATTAGTAAATGATTGCGATTCCATTATTAAAAAATATTTACGTTAAAAAACTAAAGTTTATATAGGAACATTTTTATCATCCTTTTTCTCTTCTAACTCTTCCAACTTCTTCGGCGATGAAGTTAATCCGGTTGTAGCTGCCATTAAACTATCATAAAATTCTTGGAGCTCCTTCTCAAACTCTACATTATCAGGAGGTGTATCAGGACGAGAGGTATTGGAAATAACATTTGGACAATCAGCTGGAGGTACAAGAGGAGTAGGGGAGCTATGAGGATGAGAAGACAAATTATTAGTGGGAGCAGTTGTAGGAGGTAATTCATCCAATTTCCTTTTCCCTCTCTTTGGATTTTGATGGATAATCTGTTGTTGTTGTACACCATGGGGTACATTGAAAACTCTTCCTTTATTTTTGATTTTGAAAAAGCAGTGGGTAGGTAAATCATAAACTGTATCGAACGGAACAAATCGGGTACCAGATCCAATTCGTGTACAGTATATGGTAATCCCTTCCTTGGTCACAATAAAATCAATCTCCACTTCTGTGCTCTTACACTCCTTACATCTCCCTGATTGATCATAAGGAATAAATCCTGGAGTGGTAAGTCGGGAACTTAGGACGGTAATTCCACTGGAAGAGATATTGAAATCTACTTCTGGGAGGATTTGGGAAAACAAATTTTGATTCATTGCGAAATAATGATACAAAATTCAAAATCTACACCCTTTTATACTCGGGTTTTCAGTGGATTACAACATTACAAACGTGCACGCCCCTTAAAAAACATACGCATGCTCTGAACACATATGCACAACCTAAAAACACATGCATACCCTAAACACGTGCACACCCTTTGATTTTAAAAAATTTTAAAATTTGTATTTTCTTTTGTTAATATATGCACATTTCTCCCTAAAATCAACAATTTCAAACTTTAAAATATGCTTTTTTGCAATTTCTTTTGCTTAATTGTGCACTTTCCTCCCTAAAATCAACAACTTTTAAACGTTAATTATGCTCATTGTTTTTCCTAACTCTTAAATGCGCACTTTTCTCCCTAAAATTTACTACTTTTAAACACTTAATTTGCATAAATTTAAGAAAATAAAAATTTAATTTTAAAATTTTTAAAATATAGGCGGCATCTTCAAAGAGGTTTCGATTGTGAAATCTAGGCAAAACAAAAGTTTTAATTTGCATAAATTTAAAATATCGGTAACATCAAAGGGAAAATTTTAAAAAATTTTGAAATTTAATAAAGGATTAAGGTCAAATTTTAATTAGGTCAAGGTCATTATCTGAAAACTCTGTTTAAAAACAAAAGTCAAATTTTGGGGAGGAAAAGAAACTAGGGATTGAAAATAAAGAATTTTAATAAATTATCAAATATCACTTTAATTAACATAATCACTAACATCTCATTATTAACGATACAAACCGTAATAATCAACGATTAGGGTAATCACTTTCAGAACATCTAGAGTAATCACCTGCCTCGGTAATATCCAGGATAATCAATTTCATTATTATGGGTACATGTTTACAAGGTGTAATCAAGTAATGTACACGTATCGTCACCACCGACATTGAAGGTTTGTAAATTACTCATTCTTGACTAATTACTCTCAGACACGACATGATTTTAATACCAGCCGGATAATTTACAAATTACCACCTCAAACACACTCCTTTCTCCTCCTTTCTTTTGTATGACTACTCATTCCTCCCCACGACAGTGCCCACTACCCTTTGATCTTTACCGCCCTCTCCCTTTTATCGGACCCTTCCACCACTTGATGGGGATTAGCTTAGTGACAGCCACGACGGTGACCGGTGACTAACTACTCATATTATTTATAAACTTTTTCCGGAAAGAAAATAATATATTTCCGGAAGATGATGTACTTTCCGGAAAATCTCATAAAGAAACTATATTTTTCCGGAAATGAAAATATTTTTCCGGAACATGTTATATTTTCCGGAAACCCTCATAGAACCTTTTATATTATTTTTCCGGAAAGAAAATATTTTTCCGGAAGATTTCTACTTTCCGGAAGAACTTGTATTTTCCGGAAACCTCATAGAAATTTATATATTATTCTTCCGGAAATAAAATATATTTCCCGGAAGATGTTGTATTTTCCGGAAAATACAACATTTTTCTGTAAATTGTATTTTCCGGAAAATAAAATACTTCCGGAAAATATTAGTTATAAAAAAGTAAATGATTTCCGGAATAAGTTATAGTTTCTGTATTTTGTATTTATTTTCCGGAAAAATTATTTTACAAAAAGATGCTTACCGGAATATAATTTCTAATTTAAAATCCTGCATTTTATTCTATGTATGTAATAAAAAAATTTTATTTTTTATAGATAGACCAAGCTTTTAGTGGCTTCTTTGCTGCTGTAGCCAATGACAGGCTAATAAATCCTTATTAACTATAAAATTTTTACAATTTTTAGAATTTCTACAGAAACAAGTGAAACAAAGGATAATTTAGAAAGGTGTTCGAAAAAGGTATTTTTGTAAATAAAAATTGAAAAAAAAATTTTTAAAGGCCTCAAACATTATTTCACATGCCAAGTGTTTATCTAAGCTATTGAAAGGACAATTTAATTCTTATAAAGATGTTAGAGAGGAGACAGAGAGGAATATTCCGGAAAAAGATGTATTAAAATTTCCGGAAAAGGACGAGAAGAGCATTCCGGAAAAAGACCAGACTACATTTCTGGAAAACAAAATAGAAAATATTCCGGAAAGAGAAGCATCAACAGTTCCGGAAAGGGACATAAGACACTTTCCGGAAAAAACGACCATACTGGAAAAAAGACATTCCGGAAAAATAAATAATAAAACGTTTCCGGAAAAGGAAGTATCGACCATTCCGGAAAACAAAATAGAGAATATTCCGGAAAAAGAAGTATCGAAATTTCCGGAAAAAGAGCAGACAACATTTCCGGAAAACAAAATAGAGAATATTCCGGAAAAAGAAGTATCAACATTTCCGGAAAAAGGGCAGACAACATTTCCGGAAAAAGAACTAACAACATTTCCGGAAACAGTAACAACAGACATTCCGGAAAAACGAAGAATAACAACGTTTCCGGAAAAGGCATTAAAAACCATTCCGGAAAAACAAAAAAATACACTAAATGAAATTTCTTCTTCAAAACAAAGAGAAAAAAGAACAGTAGGCGTATCAAAGAAAAAGCCCGAAAAAATAACAGAAAAAAAACCGGAAAAAATAACAGAAAAATTATTTATTCAAGAAGAAGAAAATAAAACAACTAATAATACTACTTTAAAAAAAGAAATAAGGAAAAATATTTTAATTTCAACTCTAAAAAATCAAAAATCCAACAGAATACAAAATTTGGCTAAAAAGAGGGGAAATATTCTCAAAAATAAAAATAAAATTATTCATCATCCTGTAATTACAAAAGAATCAAAATTAAATAAACCTCCACCTCCTTTTATTATTTCTTCGGGAAAGAATTACTCGTTGAGGGAAAAGAGACCGAATGCAACACCGCTTGGAGCTGTTGCTAAGTTTCTCACTAGAGAATTGCTTAGAGTGAAGAATAAACCCCCTACGGTTGTAGAGTAAGTTGAAAATAATTACATATAAATGGACTTCCGGAAAATACAAAATTATTTTTTTATTTTTTCCGGAAAATACAATTTGTATTTTCCGGAAAGTAAAAATTTACTGTTCTGTTTTCCGGAAAACACAATTCTTATTATAAAATTAATTAATAAATGGACTTCCGGAAAATACACAATTATTTTTTATTTGTTCCGGAAAATAAAAAATTTACTATTATTTTTATAATATTTCCGGAAATATAATATTACCGAACAATTTACATTCCGGAACTATTTTCCTGCTACATTATTTTGTGTTTTCCGGAAACACAATTCTGATAATAGAAACAATTCTGATACTAAAAACAATTCTGATTTTTATATTTTACTGAAATGCTATTCCGGAAAATTATTTTCTATTTTCCGGAAAACACGTTTCAAAATCTTAAATTAATTCTGAGTTAAATATATTTCCGGAAATATTATTTTATATTTTCCGGAAAACACAATTCTGATTATAAAATTAATTCTGATTTTTATAGCTGGCAAACAACTATCCAACGATTAAAAATTGCAGCAGAACAAAGAAATACAAAAAAGGCAGAGAGGAATAATAAAAGAAAACTTAAGAGACAACTCTCCTCAGAACAAGAAAGGCGATCGTTTGATTCACCCAAAGAAATAATTGACGATTCTGATGAACTCGAAAATGTTAAAAAAATTATTTCAAAAATACGTTGGGACCTGACTTAAAGATACCTCGATTGGGGTTGAAAAGATAGAAACGTAGAGGGTATTAGAAGATATCACGCTTAGGAAGCTCCTCCATCCACTAGCAGATCAAATTTATATTGGGAGTATCTTATGAAAGGGGTATCTTAGAATGGAGGGTATCCTAGAATGTATGTTAGATATAGGGTATTAGGAAGCTCCTCCTGCCCATTGGGGGTATATTCATGTCATATTGATGACCTTATTGGAGGGTATCTTAAATAAAGGGTATTGCTTAGGAAGCACCCCCAGAGGCGTCAGGCCAAATTATAGAGTTTATATTAGATGTGTACTAGTGTTTCGCCGGAACCGGAACTAAAGGAACCGGAAATGAAGGACCGGAACTGAAGGAGCGGAACCGGAACTGAAGAACCGGAACCGGAACTGAAGAACCTGACCGAAACCGGAATCAAAAAATCCAGGAACTTCCGGCCTACCGGAACCGGAACCAGAACTTCCGGCGAAACCCTAATGTGTGCCTTATATTGAGGGTGTATTTAATAACTAGGGGGTATCATATAAGGAGGTCCGATATATTTTTGAAATAAAAAATTATTTTTCTAGTTAGGGCAATTATTAACTCAAGACAATCGTCGTGACAAACTTAAACAAATCATTAAACGCCAAAAACACAAAAAATCGGCAGAAGCACAACATGTTGATAAATTCATTAATTTAGTTAAGCAAGGGGTAAAACTTGGATTTACCCTTGCTGGGGAAAATACAACTGGTTGGGAGGATAAAAATATGCGCTTAATTTCGCCTAGATTTATGAGCATTGTTGCTGAGGATGAGATTGCTGCAGAGAATGAAACGGTGAATATGAGGGAGTAGGGTTTTCCGGAAAATATTAATTTGTATATTATTATGGATTCCGGAAAGTATATTTTTATATATTTACTGGAAAATATATTAGTTCCGGAAAATATATAATTTTTCCGGAAAATATATAATTCCGGAAAATATAATAATTCCGGAAATATTTATTTTATTCATTTTCCGGAAAGGATGTTCTCCGGCAAATATTACCATGGATTCCGGAAATTATATTTTTATTTTCCGGAAAATATACTATTTAAAAGACATAAAGTATGTTTTCCGGAAAATATTATATTACCATTGATTCCGGAAAAATATTTATTTTCCGGAAAATATATATTTTCCGGAGAATATAATAATTCCGGAAACTTTACTTGTTTTCCGGAATTATATTTTCTGATATCTTCCGGAAAATTTTGCCATACCTTTTCCGGAAATGAATTTTATTTTTCCGGAATATTATTTCCCCTTAAAAACACTAACTATTTTTAAAAATTAGTTGAGTCTCCTGTCTCCATCTCTTCTCTCCATGCATGACCGTGGCCGTGACTTAGAGAAGGCTGCTTCCGTAAATAAATTTTTTAATGAGAGATAAACTGAAAAACAATTTAAGTTGCCTTCCTTACTCAGCAATTTTTCTAGTGAAGATCAACAGCATTGGATGAATTTAATAATGGAAGCTGCTGGTATTAATGAGCAAGTTGAAAAAATTGAAAATGGAAAATTTGATGAGGAAGAAAATAATAATAAATTTTTTGGAAATAAAAAGGATGGACTTAAACAACAAAATATGCTGCCTTCTGAAAGGGGATTGCTTTTTAAGAAGGCTCGTTCACTCTACGAAAAAGATGTATGTATATTATAGCAGTTGTTCCCCTACTATTGCTCTCCGGAAAATAATATAGCGGTATTTTCCGGATAGGCATTACTTTGTAGAATAGTTTTTTCCGGAAAATTAATACAAAATCAAAGCAAATATAAAATTCCGGAAAACATTTTAAATTTCATAGATAATATTTTCCGTAAGAAAGTATGTATTTTCCGGAAAATATAACATTTTTCCGGAAGACATAAGTAAGAATAATATTTTTGCCGGCTAATATTATTAATTTTCCGGAATAGATAATATCCGGAAAATAATATAGCTGTATTCTCCGGATAGGATTTATTTTCCGGATAGGCATTATTAAAACAGATTTCCGGAGAATTAATACAAAATCATACCAAATATAACATTCCGGAAAACATCTAAAATTTCATAGTAATATTTTCCGTAAGAGTTTTCCGGAAAATACAATATTTTTCCGGAAATTCCGGATAATATTTATTCCATATTTTCCGGAAAAATATTATTTCCGGAAATCGTCTAAAATTTCATAGTAATATTTTCCGGAAGAAAGTACTTCCGGAAATACAACTTTTCCGGAAAATATTTATAATTCCGGATAATATTTATTCCAGATAATATTATTAATTTTCCGGAATAAATCATATTTTCCGGAAAATATTGTTTCCGGAATAACTCATTTAAATTACAGCTTGTACTAAAACCGGAAATAACATTTTCCGGAAAATACAATATTTTTCCAGAAGATGTTTATAAATCATATTTTCCGGAAATATATTATTTCCGGAATGAATTAATCGTTATACTAAATCCGGAAAATATAACATTTTCCGGAAAAATACAATATTTTTCCGGAAAACGTTTATAAATCATGTTTTCCGGAAATATATTATTTATTTCCGGAATAAATTTATCATTATACTAAATCCGGAAAATACAACATTTTCCGGAAAATACAATATTTTTCCGGAAAACATTTATAAATCATACTTTCCGGAAATATATTATTTATTTCCGGAATAAATTTATCATTATACTAAATCCGGAAAATATAACACTTTCCGGAAAATGTATTTGTAATTTTGTATTTTTATTAACTGAAACACATTTTAATTAATTTCGCCAGATCAGAGGAGAAGATGGACAGCCTTTATATTTTACGAAGGAAAATGTCACCGAACGTTTTGGTGATTATGAACGCAGAAAGATAGATACATGGGAGCAATTTATGGCAAATTTCTCTCAAAAACAAGTATAATATTAAAAATAAAAAATTAATTATTTTAAAATGTACATACATTTATCCGGAAACACATTAGTTTATTTCCGGAAAAAAGCGGAAAAAGTTATAGCCAACTTCTCTCAAAAACAAGTATTAAAAGAAAAAAATTAATTATTTTAATATGTCCTAACTGCATTTTTCCGGAAATATTATTTTTCCGGAAAAAGTTTATATTTAATATATTCCGGAAAAAGTTTATATTTAATATTTTCCGGAAAAAGTTTATATTTAATATATTCCGGAAAAAGTTTATATTTAATATTTTCCGGAAAAAGTTTATATTTAATATTTTCCGGAAAAAGTTTATATTTAATATTTTCCGGAAAAAGTTTATATTTAATATTTTCCGGAAAGATATTATTTCCGGAATAGTCCATTTAACTTCTAATAATTCATTATTTTATCAACTATTTTTCAAAGAAAGATCAATTAAACAAAACTGGATTTGCAGCGATGGATTCAAAACAGTTGGAGATTGTTTATGGGAAACGTTCTCCTTTTAATAATACTGAAGCATTAAAAAGACTTTCAAAATTAAATGAATCTTCAATGTTGGAAGGAATGGAAAGGGATGTGAGTAGAGGATAAATCATTTATAAGGGACATCTGAATATAAGAGACACCTCGTTATAGGAGACACTTCCGTATAAGAGACAACTTATTTTAGAGACACCTCTTTATGATAGACTTCTCATTATAAGCGACACCTCGTTATAAGAGATACCCTTCATTATAAGCGACACCTCTTTATAAGATAAATCTCATTATAAGCGACACCTCGTTATAAGCGACACCTCATTATAAGCGACACCTCGTTATAGGAGACACCTCAGTATAAGAGACACCTCGTTATAATAGACACCTTATTATAAGAGATACCCTCATTATAAGAGACTTCTCATTAAAAGCGACAACTCATTATAAGCGACACCTCATTATAAGCGACACCTCGTTATAAGAGATACCCTCATTATAAGAGATACCCTATTATAAGATACTCATTATAAGAGACACCTTATCTTAAGGTACCCCTCATATAAGATACCATTTTCAGCCCCAAGGGGAGTATTTATAATAAGAGGGCCGACTGTATACAATTTTACCCTCTCATTTAATATTTTCTATAGATACACCTAATTTCTGAACTTCGTTCCTGGGAACTTAAACGAAGAAGAGACGTTGTATTATCGCCTATTGTCAGTGCTCCTTTTGTTCTGGCAGCACCGATACTTAGCCAAGCAGTTGTTCTCTCTCCTGTAGTTCTTTCACCGGTAGGAATATAATGAATATTAATTTCCGGAAAATATAATATTCCAAGGGAATATACTTTCCGGAACTACTATCATTTTCTGAAATATTATTTTCCTTCCGGAAAACACATTTCTGATTCTAAAAATACCTAATTCTGATTTAAATACATATATAACTGAAATACTTTTCCGGAAATTTTATTCTCCCCCCCCCCCTTCCGGAAAAATTCTGACTATAAAATTAATTCTGATTGCATTTTCCGGAAAAATTATTATTTTATGCTTTCCGGAAAACACAAATTCCTAAGAATAGAAACACACACAAAATACATGAATCCGGAAAACACAAATAAATATTTTCCGGAAATGTTATTCCGGAAATATTATTAATTTAGTCTCTACGGAAAATATAACATTTTCCGGAATGTCTATACTTCTATTTCCGGAAATTTTTTTATTTCCGGAAAACCAACAAATAACACTAAAAAATATTTTTTAATTCTTATTTTAAGGTCATTTTAACTCCAGCCGTGCTTGGACCTTTTATTCTTTCTCCATGGGTTTTTATTCCCGTCATATTGGTAAGAAAAAAATTTTTTTTATTGAAAAAAATAATTTTTTAAGTCTCCACGTGTTTTATCTCCACTCATTTTGAATCCTCTTATCTTTTCTCCAGTGGTTCTTTCACCTCTTGTATTGCACCCTTTTGTTCTATCCCCTGGAGTTTTTAATCCTTTTGTACTCAGCCCTCTTGTATTGTCTCCGTTTATACTTTCTCCACAAGTTTTTACACCGGTAATTTTTTAAATTAATTAATTAAACTTTTTCCGGAAAAAATAGGTTTAGAATTAATTCTGAATATTTTTCCGGAAAACACAAATAAATAACTAATTATAAACTTTTTCCGGAAAACACAAAATAATTAAATATAAACTTTTTCCGGAAAACACAATAATTAAATATAAACTTTTTCCGGAAAACACAAAATAATAAATATAAACTTTTTCCGGAAAACACAAAATAATTAAATATAAACTTTTTCCGGAAAACACAAAATAATTAAATATAAACTTTTTCCGGAAAACACAATAATTAAATATAAACTTTTTCCGGAAAACACAAAATAATTAAATATAAACATTTTCCGGAAAACACATTAAATTTATTAAATATAAGCTCATTTCCGGAAAATACTATTAGCACTAATTCTTTACTTTTCCGGAAAACACAAAATAATTAAATATAAACTTTTGCGGAAAACACAAATAAATAAATATAAACTTTTTCCGGAAAACACAAAATAATTAAATATTAACTTTTTCCGGAAAACACAAATAAATAATTAAACATAAACTTTTCCGGAAAACACAAATAAATAATTATAAACTTTTTCCGGAAAAAATTAAATATAAACATTTTCCGGAAAACATATTAAATTTATTAAATATAAGCTCTTTTCCGGAAAATACTATTAGCACTAATTTTTTATTATTCCGGAAAACACAAAATAATTAGTAAATATAAACTTTTTCCGGAAAAAATTAAATATAAGCTTCCGGAAAATATTATTAGCACAAATTCTTTATTTTTTCTGGAAAACAAATGAAATAATTTAATTAAAACTTTTTCCGGAAGATATGTTTAGAATAATTTCTGAATATTTTTCCGGAAAACACAAATAAATAATTATAAACTTTTTCCGGAATAGAATTCGTATTTTCCGAAAAATAAAAACAAAAGAGTAAAAATTTATTTTTAGTTGATTCTGTCGCCGATGGTTCTTAATCCTTTAATTCTGAATCCAATGGTCTGTTTCTTAATTTAGTAGACTCAGAATTCTGGTTTTTCTTTTTAGTAAAATCAGAATTTCTGATTTTTTATTTTATTGAAATCAGAATTTCTAATTTTTATCAGAATTTCTGGTAATCCCGGAGAATTGGGGTTTCTTCGAAAAAAAAGTTTAAAAATAAGAAAAAGGTTTTTTCTAGGGTAAAAAAATATGCTGATCACGAATCTGAACTCAGATTTTGAAAAAGTCGAATCCCGGGCCTGAATTCGGAATTTGACCCCGGACGTTGTCGGACATTGTACAAAATGGTCAGTCTTTCATATGAAGGTAGAACTCATCGAGCTGCATCGAATGACACTAAAATCGATGAAATCCGACGTGGTTGGACCGAGATACAGACCCCGGAATATTGAAAAACCACAGGGGTGATTTTTTGGAGTAAAAAAAGTTTATGCATATGATACCTCATTCGAAAGAGCTCGTCGAACTGAGTCGAATGACATAAAAATTACAGCGATTCATCAAGTTTTGACAAAGTTATGACATAAGTCGCCGACTCCTACAGTACTCCCATAGGTATACTTTATGTCATAACTTTGTCAAAACAGGTCCAATCACGTTGATTTTTGTATCATTCGATGCAGCTCGATGAGCTCTTCCGAACGAGCTATCATATGTATATTCTAAATTCGGGTTCAGGGTTCGAAATTTGGTTCGGGTCCGGGATTCGACTTTTTCAAAATCCGAGTTCAGATTCGTAATCAGCATATTTTTTACCCTAGAAAAATCCTTTTTCTTATTTTTAAAATTTTTATTCGAAGAAACCCCAATTCTCCGGGATTGCCGAATTTCTGATTTTTAATTTAACAGAATTCTGATTTTTATCAGAATTTCTGATTTTTTTAATTTCAGAATTTCTGATTTTAATTCTGATTTTTATCAGAATTTCTGATTTCTTTAATTTTAAGGTTGGTTCACCTCTAGTACTGTCCCCTTTCGTGCTTTCACCGTTGGTTCTCTCACCTCAAGCACTTTTTGCCTTGGTTTTATCTCCTTATGCACTTTCTCCTATTATTGAAAGCAAATTATTCGCTACAATTTTACTTTTTTCACCTAGCTTTCTTAGTTAATAAAATAAAATTTTAATTTTTTGTTTTGATACGACATTTGAGGAAACGACATTTGCGAACATCTCTCCTTTTTATAGCTTAAAGGGTTTTCAGGTTAAGTATATTTCCGGAATTATAAATTAATAATATTTCCGGATTAACCTTTTCGGAAAGTGTTTAATACTATCAAGAACAGTCTTCCGGAAAAATAGTTCCGGAACAGTTTTCCGGAACTGTTTCCTGAACAATTTCCGGATTTGTTTCCGGAACCTTTTTTGGAAACAATTTCCAGATTTGTTTCCGGAACAATTTCCGGAACCTTTTCCGGAACAGTTTCCGGATTTGTTTCCGGAACCTTTTCCGGAACAGTTTCCGGATTTGTTTCCGGAACCTTTTCCGGAACAGTTTCCGGAACCTTTTCCGGATCTGTTTCTGGAACCTTTTCCGGATTAATTTTCTTGAGCAGTTTTCCTGAAAATTCTTCCGGAACCTATTTCCCTTTGCATATATCAGTCATCAAATAATTTTAATCCACAAAAATAAAATTTTAAAATATTTAAAAAAATATCAGCTAAATTCACAACTAGTCAAAAATAAATAAAATTAAAAATAAATAAATGCTCATTAAAATTTAAAAGGACCCGAAAATCAATCACTTTTTTAATATCACTTTACAATCCAAAAATTTTTTCTAAAATATTTTTTAACGTGAACAAGGACGTTTAGAACACGATTTTATTGCCTTTAAATTTTGTTGTTGTTCTAAATTTGTTTGGTTGGTCTCTTGAGGGGAGGTGATGCTTGAATTGTCCTGTTTAAATTTTAATTGAATTTTCTGGTTAAACAAGGAGAGACTCTTAATAAAGGGTTAGACAGTTGGACCTCCCTATAGGGCTCTCTCAATACTGATACACCTCGATTTAAGATGCGGTCTTTTAAAATTTGGTTGACCACTGAGGGAGATGATCCCAAGATCGCGATCCCAAGATAGAGAAAGAGTTTTGCAAAAGTTTAGCCACCGGGCAGGATTCGAACCTGCGACCTCCCGCTTTCGCTCGCTATATGCAGGAGCTCTACCTCTGAGCTACCGAGGCATCGACTAATGCTTTCTCTTTTTCCTTTTTAGATCGTTTAACCCCCGCCTAAGCGTTTTAAATGCTGCTGGATGAATCATTCTTACAATAGATATCAGGGATGGGTCGTGTTGAAAAAAGTTGAATCCTGGATCGAGTCATTCGAGAGAACGAGTCGGGTTTTTGGTCGGGGTAGAAAATATTCGGATTATCGAATTGGGTCTGGTAAGTCCGAGTTTCTGGTCAGTTTCTGTTCCGGGTTTAAGGTCCGAGTACCAGTAAGCGATAATCAGACCCATCCTTGGTATAGAGCAAGGGATGGGTCGGGTCACCCGAAACCCGAACTATTTTTCGACCCGAAACCCCCTCCCCCGACCCTTCTTTTTTCTCAACCCGACCATCCCTGTTATAGACCCTACAATTTAAATTTTATTACATTTTCGCTCTCCTTCCTCTTCAATTCAAATTTCTCCAGCAACTTTAAACGTGTACATTCCTCCTCATTTTTCCCTTTTTCTTCTTCCTCCTCCCTAACATTATAATCTTCATATATTAATTCTATATTTTCATCAAATATTTCTTCCTTCTCTTCCTTCTCTTTCAATTTTTCTTCTTCCTTTAACTCCTCATTCATTATAATTGTTGGGGAAGGGGATTTGGGGGAATCGTCATTTTGGGAGGATTTGTGGCTGGGGGCGGATGAAAAGGTGGAAGAGCTCGAACTGCGGCGATGACGCTTCTTTTTGCTGGAGGCTGAAAAAAGGAGATTTTTAAGAAGGAGAAATTCTAGGGTCTCAAAATCCGCAAGTTTTTTGCGGACAAAACTTTAGGGAATCAGATAATCCGCAAGTTTTTTGCGGACAAAACTTTAGGGAATCAGATAATCCGCAAGTTTCTTGCGGACAAACATTTGGGGCACCCTAAAAATCCGCAAATTTTTGCGGACAAACATTTGGGCACCCAAAAATCCGCAAATTTCTTGCGGACAAAACTTGCGGAGAGGGATCTCCTTTTCCTGGCGTTTTTGCTGCCACAAGGAAAAACACGCCAAATACAGAATGCCATATTCTGCCAAAAATAACGCCAAAACGTCATGGCGCCCAAACTTATTTCTATTTCCAATTTTCAGTTTGCCTGGTTCTGATTGGGATTTTTTGGTTCCGGTTTGGGAGATTTTCCGGCCAGAATCCACTTTACCCTTGTCGTTCTTGCCCCAGGTTTTCCCTCCAAACTTAACCCTCCAAAGACAATCAAACCAACATTTCTTGCTGCTTTTCGAGCTTCCTTTCCCTTCCTTTGAGTCCTTTATGTATTTAATTTTGTGAATGTTTTGATGACTACTGTAGTGGTGGTGGTGGTTACGGTAATAAATCTGTTGTCTTTCCTCATTTTTTGCTTTCAAATATTTTTCTCTGGCCAAATTTTTTGAGAAGGAGCGTAATTCCATTCGGCCAGTGTCCAAAGGGGAACCGCTAAGGCTTCGTTGCTTTTTACTCTTTTTGTTTTTGTGGGGTGAATTTGAACGCCAAGAAGAAGAACGGGAACGAGACCTTAAAAAATAAAGGTACAGAGGTTAGGAATAGCCGGGTAAGGGACAACTCACCGTCTGACCAAAATACGCGTAAAGAATAGCCGGGTGTGGGACAACTCACCGTCTGATCAAAATACCGTTTGGTCAGAGGGAGGTTGGGGGACAACTCACGTTGAGGGATAATTCACCGTCTGACCAAAAAAACACCGTCCACTTTTACAGACGACAAATTCGATTTATGTCGATATTATTTTATCTTAATATCTTTGGACTATATGGCTATTGGTCTTGATTAGTCCTATAACTTATATGCCTAAAAATTTTATTCCAAAAATTTTTGCTCTAAGCGAAATTGACAGTATTTTATACTCTAGTGGGTGGACGGTGAGCTGCCCTGACACAGGAGTAGCCAGAGGTATGTCAAAATTCAAACGTCTATTTTTTGAATTCTTAAACTACGCCAACTGTCAGCCCTCTCGTGCGCCATTTTTGGCGTTTTTCCGTTTTAGGCATTTTATCAAAAATATTTTCAAAGGCTGTAGGAGAGGCCTTCCAATCAGAGCTGCGTCGAAATAAAAAAATCTTCGAAATTCGGAAATCGAAAATCGGCAGAAAAAAACGTCGAAAATCGAAAATCGGTAATCGAAAATCGAAATTTTTTAAAATAACTAAAAGAGTAGTAAACAATCCGCAATATGGAGATATAAGGGTTAATATTGAGATATAAGGGGATTCAATGGATTAATGGAAGTTTTAAGAGATATCAGTGATCGTAGGGATATACAGGATTAGAGGGTTGACTAGAGACCAATTAAATCCGCACCCTAGATCACTTTAAATCCTTTATTCCTCCAATATTCTACTTACCCCTTGATACCCTTGATATCCCATCCTCCTATATCCCTCTTATTATTATAAGGCAAATGGAATAATTGGAGGCTCGGGTGGAAAGTCAAGATAATATTATTTAAGTGGATTTGGTTAGATTAAGGGGGATATTATATGATATCAGGCGAATATGAGGGATATCAAGGGTTACGCGGGATTTGGGCGGATTATTGTGGGATTTGGGTGGATTAAAGGGAATCTCGCAATCTTCTAATCTCATATTTTTATTCCTCCATCTTTCTTAACCTTTTTTTGCGCCGCAGGCGAAAATTTTCAGAATTTTGAAGATTATTAAGCCAAAAAGTTCCATTTTCAGCGCTGCAGGCGAAAACTTAGAGAATTTTGAAAGATCGCTAAGCAAAAAATCTTCACTTCTCTGCGCCGGAGGCGAAAATTTTAAAAATTTTGGAAGACTAGAAGACAGATTTCTTCATTTTTCAGCGCCGCAGGCGAAAATTTTGAGAATTTTGAAAGGCTAAGTAGCCAAATTTCTTCATTTTTGGCGCCGCAGGAATAAAATCTTAAGAGAAAAGATAATGCAATTTTGCAAAAAAAATCGAAAATCGAACGAAAATCGAAAAAACTAAAATTATCGAAATCGAAAATCGAAATTTTATGAAAAAATTCGAAATTCGGAAATCGAAAATCGGTAGAAAAAAACGTCGAAAATCGAAAATCGAAAGTCGAAAATCGAAATTTCGACGCAGCTCTGCTTCCAATCCTAACCTAATTCCAATCCCCAAAATTCATTAAAACCAACTTCGATTTCGACCGGCTGTTTCGACTGCTGCTTCTTGAACAACTATGCTTACTGTTCCCATAATTGCTTCCCTTCTCGTTCGAAGACCTAGACAGTGTAGATTCACGTCTATACCGCTTGTGGGGAGTGCTAGACCTCGAAGAGCGATGATGCCTGTCCTTTTTGGATTTTCGTTTACGGTGCTCTCTCTCTTCGGCGAAAATATTGCCAGAACTTCGAACAGGGGAAATGAAGCGGCCACGCCCAATGCCACGCCCAGTCCTAAAAAATTTTTTTTATTTTTTTATTTTATTCCAAGCAAAATTAATTATTTACACTGTTTAGTTCATCTTTTATATTTTTAGAAAATTTCCCCAATTTTTTACCCATAAATTTAAACCTCCTATAAATTATTTTTCTCAAGTTCTTCCATCTTTAAGTTTCCATCTTTACTGTCTAACATAAAAGGTTTGTTTTACTCTGTTTTAAACTGCTTGGGGTTGTTTTTACAACTTTGTCTGTTTTAAGTTTTGTTTTAATTTTTGTTTTTATGTTTCTACCTAAACATGTTTTTTAGGTTTATTTTTACAACATGTTTTTGTTCCCTGTTTTACTCTGTTTATGTTTTTACAACTTTGTTTGTTTAAATTTTTGTTTTTCTGTTTCTGCCCAAACATGTTTATACATAAACAAGTTTGTTTAGGTTTTTTTACAACTTGTTTTTACAACTTGTTTTTACAGCATGTTTTTACAACGTGTTTTTACAACTTGTTTTTCTTGTTTTTGCAAACAAGTTGGTTTTTATTTTTTACAACTTTGTTTGTTTTAAGTTTTATTTAACTTTTTCTACACATGTTTTGTTTAAGTTTATTTTACAGCCTGTTTTACAACTTATTTAAACTTGTTTTTACAACAAGTTGGTTTTATGACAAGTTGGTTTTTTCCCAACTTGTTTTTGTCTATTTCTACAACAAACAAAGTTGCTTGTTCGTTCAAACTTTTTTTACAACTTTTTTACAACTTTGTTTTTCTCTGTACTTTTTGTACAGTCTCTGCTATTATTTTCTGTCTAATTTCCTAATGTTTTAGGTTTATTTTTTCTGTCTGTTTGTTCAGGTTTATCCATTAGGTTGTTTACCCTATTAGCCTATGTTTTCCCTGTAATATTTCATGTTTTTCCCATTAAAGTTTTCCTTTACAACTTTTACCCTTTATTTCCTCTTATGTGCGCAATTTTTGGCGTTTGCCAGATTTCCTCTTCAAATTAATTTAAAAAATTTTTTCTTTTTTTCTAAAATTATTTTAAGGGGTTTTAAGGATTTTTTGATACTTTACGTCTATTTTCCGTTTTATTTAACGAATTTCTCACATTGTTCCTCTATATGCTCCTCTACTCCCTCCAAATCTTCCTCTTCCCATTCCTCCAATAAATCCTCCTCTTCCCCCAATTCCACTTCCAAATGAACGTCCTCCTCTTCCCATGAATCTTCCCCCAGCATAGCCTCCATGGTGCCCATAACGATCAAATTTTCCATAACCACTATTCTCGTTTGAGGCGGAATCGTCATCATTTTTGTTGTGGTGTTTCTCCCCTCTGTGTTTTTCGCTTTCGGAAATTCGAACCATTTTTACTTCGTTTTCACTGAAAAAAATTTTTTGAATAAAATTAGGTGTTCCTTGAAGAGGGTAGTGCTTGCGCCGGGACCGCAAATTTGGCCAGAACCGGAACTGAAATTTTGACCGGATCCGGAACTTCCGGCGAACTCTAGAGTCTACCCCTTCCCCTTCCTTTATTTTCGTGTAATGACAAAACACCGTCCGACAACTCACCGGACAGAGACTGTCCAAGCAATTAGAGTAATTTTAAAATAAAATTTTTAGGCTTAGGAGTATTGTACTAACCTAGACCTATTAGCCGAAGGGTCTGAAGATGTTAAGGTAACATAATATCGACTTAAATCGAATTTTTTCTGTAAAAGTGGACAGTATTTTTTGTCTCTATTGTCCAGACGTTGATTTGGTCGGACGGTGTTTTGCCCCATTTCTCCCCGTTATTTTTACTTTATACCCAGAACACCATCAAGATATTTAACTAACCGTTCATCAAAACGTATTTCTACTCCACCTCCAATACCTCCACGTCCCATAGCCTGTGCCATTTGCATTGCATTCTTTAAAAATAAATTTTTTCAGTTAGTCTCGAGGCCTATTTTGGGCTATAACTTTTTTGGTTCTTAACCGATTTAAACAAGTTTTATTCTAATCGAAAGCTCTGGATGTGAGGATTGTTTTAGCTGACAGGATTATGTTGATCAGTTAATCCTACCTAAAGTTATAGTCAGATAAGTGCGCGCAATCGTGATTTTTGTTATTTATTCAGCCATAACTTTAGGCAGAATGATCTGATCAGATTAATCCTGATAGCTAAAATGATCCCCACATTCAGAGCTTTCGATTGCTATAAAAATTATTCAAATCGGTTAAGGATCAAAAAAGTTATAGCCCAAAATATGGTCTCGAGAGTGAATCTCCACTACCCCGTTTCAGCCAGACTCAGTCCGTCCCGAGCCCTATAACTTATCAAGGGGTTGATAATCTTTAATGTTCTTGTTACCATTGGATAGAGCATTAAATAAGCTACAATATACCTGAAAATCAAAATTCTTGACTAACTGGAAAAAAAGTTATGTTTGAAAAAGTGCCAAAAATCACGTTTTTTTTGGAAAATGTTTGTTTTTCGATCACAACTTTTTTATCAATTTGTCGAAAATTCTGATTTTTTGAAATGTTGTAGTGCTTTTGATTCTCTATCGAATGGTACCAAGAACACGAAAAAGTGACCATCCCTTCACGAGTTATAGGGTCCTGGACTGGACTGAGACGGGTGTGAAATGAACGGCTCCGCCATTTTCAACCCTCGTTTGCTTGTAAATCAGGCCTAATATTTTTTTAAAAAATTCAAAATAAACCCTTACCCTAACCCCCAACGTCATTTCATCATTGTGAGCATAAAAACAGTCCTTTCCAAATTTACACCCTCCATATTTTTCATAAAAAACGCATTGACGAACAACTGCACAAAATTTGGGATTTATATTAAATTCGTCACCGGTTAGGGAAAACATTTTTTAATGGGGAAAATAGCGGAGAATAGGGAGAATTAAATTCTGTGGGTGAATAAAAAATTTTTTTTAATCACAAAAATATTGTCCGCAAAAAATGTCCGCAAATATTGTCCGCAAGTCTTCTATTAGAGTCGGACCTCTATATAAGATACCCCCAATATTAAATACACCTCACTTTAAGATACGCTTTCCAAATTAGGTTGGCCTGTAAGTGGAGGGAGCTTCCTAAGAGATACCCCCTCTATTTAAGCTACACTTCATTATAAGGTACAGTCTCATTATAAGATACCCCCAATATTAGGTCACTCGCGTTTAGGATACGTTATTTAAATTAGACTGGCCACTAAGTGGAGGGAGGAGCGGAAGGAGCTTCCTAAGAATACCCCCCTCTATTTAAGCTACACTTCATTATAAGATACGATTTTTTCACCTACAAGTATTCATAAACGAGGTATTAGGGGGTATCCACTGGATGGGGAAATGCCTCAGCAATACCCCTATATAAGACCCCATTTTAGGATACTTCCATTTTAAGATACTCTCTATTTAATATACACCTCATTATAAGACACCCACAATATTAGGTACACCCTCAGCTCGAGATAGGCCATAAGGGAAGCAATACTCTCTATTTAAAATACAACTCATTATAAGATACGATCTCTCTATAAGATACCCTCTATTTAGACAACAACACATTATAAGGTATTTTCGGCCCTACGGGGTATCTACTTCAGCCCCACGTGGTTCGAGAAGAAATTTGCGGACAATACTTGCGGATTTTTTAACTCCAAAAAAATTTTTTCAAGAACAATTTATTATTAGTAATTTTATTAATACTCATTCTCCTTACAAGCTCTAGGAGGTTTTCCTTCTCCGTCTTCAGACCGTGGAGTTGTTGGACGGGGAGGGGCCATAATTTTTTCTTGTTTTTAAAGAAACACGCACTGTTGCTTTCTTCTTTTTTTTTTATTTTTTTTGTTGAAACACCTGTTTTTCTATCAAATTTTTACAGTCTGTCTCTTGTAAATTTTACTCCTTTAAAGAAAAATGAAAATTGAGGAGACGACAATTGCGAACATCCGACATTTGCGAACATCCGACATTTGCGAACATACGACATTTGGGAACATAAGCCAAAACCTATTGAAATGGGGGCAAGGGCCGTTGGGTCTTGCCCAGAGGACACAACAGCCAGAGGACACAAAAGCCCTCTAATTACGACAATTGCGAACATCCGACATTTGGGAACCTGGACCTAAAGGGGGGTTGTTGGTCTTTACAAATGGATGTTGGGACTTGTCCACAGTGACGATCTATAGCATACAGTTCATAAGGACCTCTTTATAAGATACACTCAACAATATAGACAGCATTTGGGAACATCCGATATTTGTGAACATACGACATTTGGGAACATGGACCTAAACTTATAGAGGGGGGGGGGGGTTGTTGGGTTCTGTCCAGAGGCACGGTCTATAGCACACAGTTCGTAAGGACCTTTTTATAAGATACACTCAACAATATGGACTCTATTTAAGATACGGTTTTTTAAATTTGATTAGACAATGGATATGGAAGGCTATCTAATCTACTATATCCTCTATTTAGTATACGCTCATTATAAGCACTATTTTTCAACCCCAAGGGGGTGTATTTATAAATGGGGTTTTACTGTATTTAGGTGTTACCGTATTCCTCAATAAGCCAGAAATCAGCCAATGTACGCAAATGTCGCCTGTTCTCAAATGTCGTCTCTCTATCAAATAAAGATGTTAGTTAGACTTTTAAGGGGAAATGAAGAAGGGGAATGAAGGGGAATAATGAAAGGCAAAAATTAAGGGCTAATAAGACGTGTATAAATTTTAAAAATTAAAAAAAAATTCAAGTCTCTCTCAATTTTTTACACTATTTTTTTCAAGCTTCTTTAGCTATACAAGGCAAAAAAATTAAATCAGTCAATCAAGCACTTTAACATGCGCATGTTGCCTTGTGATTAACGTGGCAAACATTAAGAAATTAATTAAAGGGCAAGTTGCCCTTAGAGTCTAGTTTATATGTCTAGCAGGAAAAACAACGCTTAAAGCCCCCTAGAATTTAATAAAAAAAACACCCTTAAAAACAGCCTGGGGCCTATTCCACCAAACGACATTGACATCAAATGTCGCGACATTTGTCAATCGCTTGACATTCCGATTGCGATTGTGTTCCACGAAGCGACTTTTAATTTATTTTGTGACATCGACATTGACATCTATTTTCAGCGACATTGACAGCGAAATGTCGCGATTGTGTTCCACGAAGATTTTAAATTTGAGTGTCAATCGACACTAGTAATCGAAATGTCGATTTTTGGCGACACAGCGTTAGGGCTGTGTCGTTAATGGAAAATTGGGTTTTTAAAAATCAAAATTCAAACTAAAAATTACAAATAAAATATTTTTAGATACTTTAGAGTGTGCTCTTTCTTTTGATATAAATTTTGTGAATTTTTCTTTTAAAATAAATTTACTATAAGCTCTCGCGTAAAGTACCCGTTTCTTGAGAGGATTTACATTTTTATAATTTTTTGTAGAGTTTGATTATTATTTTATAAACTAATGGACTCTGATTCTAGTTCTACCTCAAACTCCGATAATGAATTTGATGAAATTCGACACGCCAATCGTGAGCATATTTATAAAGAAAGAAGAATCATTACAGATCCATCACAATTTCGAGAAAGATTCAGATTAACTCCACGACTTTTTGAATTGCTTGTGCAGCGTATTGGACAACGACTTACACCCTCTACTCAACGTAGTAAGGCTCTTTCTGCTTCTGAAAAAATACTTATTGCTTTGCGCTATTTTGCTTCAAACCAAGAATATTACAACAACAGTGATACTCAAGGTTATTTTTAGGCTTAAATTGTTTTTATAAATTTTTTATTTAAAAAATTATTTATTTAGGCGTAGGAAAGGGAACTGTTTGTCGTGCAATTCGAGAAGTTACTTCCGTGATTAATGAGGAATTTTAAGGGACAATTGATTGGCCGAAAAATGTAGATGATTGTTCAGCTATTGCTAGAGATTTTTTTAAAATTGCTGGGTTTCCTTTTGTTTGTGGTGCTGTTAACGGGACTTTGGTTTTTTTAATAATTTTTAAAGAAATATTTTCTTTTTTTATGTTCAAATTTATGTGCCAAAAGACAAAGAGAGGGACTATGTTGATAGGCATGGATCTCATTCCTTAAATGTTATGCTAATCGCTGCCTCAAACTTCAAACTCTTGTATCTGAAAAGCAATATGCCGGGATCTGTTAATGATGCTAGGGTGCTCTCAAAATCTTCTATAAATGATGACTTTGAAAATGGCTTTCGACCTTTCCCTAATGCAATTTTAATTGGTTAATTAATTCTTATTAATTAAATTATTCATTTGGATAATTAAGGAGACAGCATTTACCCTTCGAAGGATTGGCTGATTCCAATGAGAGCTAGAGCTAATGAAAGGTTTAAAGAATTTTATGAAGCACATGCTCGAACAAGGTCTATTATTGAAAGAACAATTGGTTTATTGAAAATGCGTTGGCTATGTTTAAAAAAAGGACTTCGTGTCAAAAAACCGTCCTATTCTGCGGAAATAGTTAAATGTTGTGGGTACCTTCACAATTTTATTATTGATAATAGACAGGAAAATGAAGATGATGACGAGTGTTTTGACGAAGACGATATTGAAGAGGAGGAAGAAACCGAGGATTTAGACAATTTTTTTACCCCTCGTTTAGAATTTATATTCAAGACCTTTATCAAAATACACAATAAATAAACCTTTTAAAAATATAATTTATTTCATTCAAAACGTCTCCTGTATTCTTCAAGCTCCCATTCAGCAGCTTCTGCTTGTGCATTAATAAGTCTTGTCTCAGCATCTAATTTTTGCGTTTCTGCTTCAGTTTTAGCAATTTCTGCCCTCAGTTTTTGTTTTTTCAATTCTTCAAGTTCATCAGAAGGATCCGCTTTGTTTTTAAATTTACGTTTAGTTGAAGTTGGAGTTTTGTTATAATAATTGGCCTCAAGAAACGAACCGCTATTTTTTGGAGAGATGCAACCTTCCTAAATTTTTAAATTAAAATTTACTAGAATCTATAAAAAATTAACCAAAGTGACTACATCAATTGTTTTTTCCAAAGCATTTTCCTCTAAGGAAGTTCTCGGACGTCTTGTGTCAGATACATCAACACCATCAAGTTTATCGCTATTTCTGCCTATTATATCGAGAACAAGGTCATCGACCTATTGAATAAAAAATAGAAATATCTTTTTACTTAAAAAACCTGATTAAATTTTATTGCTCCTTCTCCTGTTTTTTTGCTTCTGTCATACTTTTCTTTACTTCGTCGTTGCAAGTTCTGCCAAGTAACTTTACGTAAATGTTCAGCATCCACCAAGCCTTTACAACCGGAGGCAGAACATTCATCAAAAATTTGCTGCCACAGCTTTTGCTTAGTATCCCACGTCAATTTACTTGAGAATTGCCCAAAGAGGTCCTCTTTTCGTTCGGAAACAGCTTTCAAAAAAACAATTTTACTATTTTCATCCATTTTTTACAAATTTCTCTAAAATTTAAGAAAATAATTTTAAAAAATAAACAAAAAAATAAATAAAGAACAAAATTAAAAAAAAACAAATATTTTAATGATGACATCGACATTTTGACAATGACATAGACTGATTTCTTTAGTGGAACACAATCGTGTGTCAATGTCGACAATTGGTGTCGATGTCATTAGAAATGTCACAAATCTAGTTGTCGTTTTGTGGAACACAATCCTATGTCAATGTCGCAATCGCGATTGACACTTGGACATCGACATTTGATGTCAATGTCGTTTGGTGGAATAGGCCCCTGAACGGGAACATTTTAATTGTAAGTGGTCCGGAAAATAAATTTTATATGCTTTTTCCGGAAAACTTTGTGTTGAAAAGAACAAGTGAATAAAGACAAAAAGAATAAGCTTTTTCCGGAAAATATATTTTTCTAAACAAGATTATAAGTTTTCCGGAAAATAATTTGTTCATTCAGGAAAAACAGAATTAAAAGTTTTCCGATGAACAAGATTAAACATTTTCCGGAAAATAATTCTTAACCTTCCGGAAAAATAAAATAAACTTTTTCCGGAAAACAGAATTAAAAGTTTTCCGGAAAAATATAAAATAAAGTCTTCCGGAAAACGAAAATAAACTTTTTCCGGAAAAATAAAATAAAGTCTTCCGGAAAATAAAAATAAAAGTTTTCCGGAAAATCCAAAGGAAAATAACATTTTAATTTTTCTACCTTTTCCGGAAATGTCTTCCGGAAAATATACTCTTTCGTTGTCTGCACCTGCGCTCTACAAATACTATAAAATCTTAAAAACAATAAACCAACAAATTAAACAATAGTTTTATAATATAATATTTGAAAACAAATCTTAAACAAACAAAAAAAGAAAGTCAAAAGTAGAATGTTCTTATAAGAGATTTTCAATAAATAAATAAATAATAAATAATAAAGCAACAAATTGTAGGGTTGTATCAAATCCGCAAAAATTTGTCCGCAAAATTTTGCAACCGGAAACAATATTAAAAAGTTTTCCGGAAAATATTTAAAAAAATAAACTTTTTCCGGAAAGACTAGTTTAATAAAAGTTTTCCGGAAAAATAATTAAAGTTTCCGGAAAACACATTTTATGGTTTATTCTAAAACATTTTCCGGAAAACATGTTGGAATATTAATAAAGAATTAATTCTAGTGTTTTCCGGAAAATAATTATTCGCCTTCCGGAAAACAAAATTATAAGTTTTCCGGAAAAATAAAACATTTTAATTTTAAACTTTTTCAGGAAAATATATATAGTTTTCCGGAAATATTAACAAACCCCATTTTTGTATAGCGCAGAACAACCCTATCAAAAATGCATAAAATAAAATTAAAAAAATTTTTTTAAAGAAAATAAAATCAATTATAAGTGAAATTTTTTTTAAGGAAGAAAATTTACGGAAGAAATAGTATATATTGGCATTTTTCTCATATATGAGTATTTTTGTATTTTTTTAAAAGGGGAAAATAAATAAAATATTCTATAATCTCTCTACTCTTCTTAACTAAAAAAAAAATTTTTTTTTTCCTCCTCCAATTTTTCAAATTTCTTTTTTAACTTTAACAGAACTTCCCCCACCCCCGCTTCCCCCAGCACTGCTGTAACTCTTCTTGACCATCTTCTTTCTCTTTTTTCCATTTTTCTTAGGTGAAGGGTTAAACGAACTGTCCTCATCATTTCTCTTCTTATAGACCTTCCATTCAACATCATCCTCATCATTAGTATTATCTTCATTGTCCGATAAAATTTCTTGTTTTTCACGTTTAATGGTCAAATATGGATGCTAAAAAAGGAAAAAAATTTTTTTTATTTAAAATTTTTTAAAAGTCCGCAAAAAATTTTTTCGTCCGCAAGTTTTGTCCGCAAAATATTTGCGGACAAAATTTTTGCGGACAAATTTTTGTCCGCAAGAATCAGTAAGAATGAGAAAAAAAATAAAATTTCGTCCGCAAGTTTCGTCCGCAAAATTTTTGCGGACAATTTTTTGTCCGCAAAATTCAAAAAAAAAAATTTTTCCCTTACATGAGTTGGAGAAGCAAAAATTTTTTCAATAATAGTAGCACAATTCTCTTTAAATTCCGTCCCATGAACTTCCAAACGATGTACAACCCATTCAGTAGCACGTTCTAACGCATTCTGTTGTTGGTTGTCGAAGAACTTATCACAATCTTCACAACTAAAATGCAAAAAAAAATTTTTTAATGGGAAAATTGCGGACTGTCCGCAAGTTTTATCCACAAAAATTTTGCGGACTGTCCGCAAATCTATTAAATTAAAAAAATCCGCAAAAAAATATTTTTTGTCCGCAAAAAATTTGCGGACAAAACTTGCGGACAAAAAAAATTTTTTTGCGGTTTTTTAAAAATTTTAAAAAAAAATTCAAAAAAAACTAACTAAAAATTCAAGTTCCCAATGTAAATAAATCTTTGCTTTTTAATATATTCATGAATAGCTTCACAATCATTTGTAACAATTCGATGTCTTGCCAAAACATGAAGCCTGTAATCATGTTCGTTTGTGTATTTTAAGTGTGAGCCGGCAGGACAATGAATACCTTTAATGAAGAAAAAAATAAAAATTAATTAAAAGTAAAAAAAGGTTGATAAGTAGACTAGGGAAAAAAAATTGTCCGCAAAAATCCGTCCGCAAAAAATACGTCCGCAAAAAGTGTCCGCAAAAAAAATAAATTTGTCCGCAAAAAAAAATCCGCAAAAAAATATATGTCCGCAAAAATTTTCTGACAGAAAGTCCATAAAAAATGAATTTGTCCGCATGAAAATTACGTTAAAGTGTCTGCAAAAATTGTCCAAAAAAAAGGAAAAAGTCCGCAAAAATTGAATTGTCCGCAGAAAAATCCCCCAAAGCAAGCAGCAAAAAATTAAAAAAAAATAAACTTACAAATAAACAATTGAACATCTTTTCCAAGAAAAGGAGTTGAAGAACGTCGACCACCAAATGAATGGAAAAATGAAGTGTCAGAATTAAAAGAAGAGTCGTTCTGAAAAAAGAAAATTTTAGAAAATGAAAAAAGTCCGCAACTTTAATTTTGTCCGCAAGTTTAATATCCTTAATAAAGTTGGACATTAGGTGGGGAAGCTAATTTTAAGTTAGACGTCCTTTCTCGCTTCCTCCCCCTCCCTCTCCACCAGTGCTTCGACTCGTACCAAAATTCGTACTCGTACCTGGTACTCGTACCTGATACGAAGTACGAGTACGAGCAAAATCGAAATTTCGAAGCACTGCTTTCCACCTCCCCCCCCCCCCCCCTCCCCCTTCTCCCACTTTAGAATACCCCCTCATTATTTAACAGCCTAAGTTATACCCCTCTCCTTTTAAGGTATCCCCCTTAATAATTTCTAAGTTCAGCTTTTCTCCTAATTAAACAAATTTTTTTTAAAATCCTCAAAAAAAGAAAGAAACCCGCTCATCCATAAATTAACTTATTGGACGAAATAGGGTAACAACCCGACCAACGAAACAACGACAGATTTTTTTGGCAAAAGCCCCCGACCCAAAAGTCAACCATTACATACCTTCCATGGTAAACCCCGATCTCTGCCATACCCGACCCCGAAGGTTTGGGTTGCTACTCTAATTTGAATCCTCAAAAACAGCTACCCCCCCCCTAAAGACCAAAAAAAGTTAAGAACCCTTTACCTCCCCCCTCCCAATATTCAAAAATTCAAAAAAAGAAACCTTTTTAGCCTTCTTCACAACATTTTTCTTCTTCTTCATCCTCAACTTTTTAAGACCCGAACTGCTTGAACTTGATGAGCGTCTATTTCCTGTACTTGTTGAACAAATTTGGTCAATATTTTTTCCATATCTTTTAGCGACTGGACGCTTAATTGTAATTTTTGCTTTGAATGAAGTTGAAGAAGTTGAGGTTGATTGGTGTTGTTGTGCAAAGGAAGAAGTAGAAGGAGGAGTAAATTTTTGTTCTTTTTTGTTTGAAGCCTTGAAAAAAAAATTTTTTTTAATCCCCAAAAAAATATCGCAAGAAAATCCGCAAAGATCCCAACACCCCCCTCACTTCCCCTGCCTCCCCCCCCCCCCAATGGAAGGACCTAATAAAAATATCGGTATAGTTTGTGTCCCCACAATTGGGAATCATTCTTCCACTTTGGACTCACCCTTCCACTTATCTTTCCATTCCTTCGACCCTCGTCCCCCTCCCCCCTCCCTCTCCATTGAAACATATTCTTCCACGCTGGGAAGTAGAGCATATACATTTTAGGGTCCCTAATTTAGGGGACTTTTTCTGATGTTAATCACTCCCACAAATTTTTTTAAATGAAAAATCCCATCTTATTCCTCTTCCTCACTATTCCCCCCCTCCCCTCAAAAAATTATTTAAAAAAATTTTTTACCAAAATTAAAAAAAATATTATTATTACCCGCCCCCCCTTCTGGATTTTTCTAAATACCACCCTCTTCCCCAAAAATATTTTATACCGCAACCCATCACCCATCCCCCTCGAAAATATTTTATACCTAAACCCTCCTCCCATTATCTTCCCCACAAAAAAAATTTTAATTTTAAAAATTTTATACCAAAATTTTTTGTTCCAATTCCAAAATAGCCTTCTTCAATTGATTACAATCCATTTCCGGTTCTTTAAACAATTTTTCAACATCCGGCAATGAAATACGAACACGTTGTAAAGCTGCATGTTTAAACATTGGTGGACGTTTTCTAGGAGAAGAATGAGGACGAAGTGGAGGCTTTGCTTCTTCTTTAGGTTTAAATTTTAAAGCTTCGTTTACACGCTAAAAAAAGAAAAAATTTTTTTTTAATTAATTCAGTTAGATTTTTAAAAAAAAATTTTTGGGTACGAGAAAATTTTTTCAAAATCAAAAAAAAATTTTTTTCAAAAAAAAAAGTCCGCAAGGTTAGTCCGCAAATTAAAAAAAAATTTTTCAGAAATTTTTTAAAAAGTTCTAATTTTTTTCCCGAAAAAATTTTTCAAACGGAAGGCTGAAAAAATTAAAAAAATTTTTTTTGAAATTACATTTATATACACGTGATACCCAAGCTTGGTTTACAACGGGAGACTCCCGCGCCCCCCAAGGTAGAAATGTTCGGCAATAGAGATCGGTATTTTTGAAAAGCACGGGCCTGTTCCTGGGTATGATTTATTGACCTGGGTTGGATCCTGGGCCTGTAGCCCAGGAAAAACCTGGGAAGGTCAAAAAATTTCTGGGCCAGGACTATGGGTACAGGAAAGACAACAGACCTTGATACAGACCCTGGACCGATCTCTAGTCGGCAGTAACTTGTAACCTGTACCCTGGGGTCGAAAAAAATTTTTTCAAAAATAAAAAATTTTTCAAAAATTTCTGGGCCTGGAAAAATTTTTTCAAAAATAAAAAAAATTTTTCAAAAATTTCTGGGCTTGGAAAAATTTTTTCAAAAAAATAAAAAAAATTTTTTTTCAGAAAAGTTTTCCCAAAAAAAATTTTTTTATCCTAAGAAAAATTTAAAATAAACCTTCCGTCCAGTTACCGAAAATTGACAAAATGAAAGACCACCTCCACCGCCACCAATCGTCTTTTTCGCCGTCTGATTAGTATATTTAATTGGACGTGGAGGAAGAATATTATTATTATTGTTTTTGTTGACCTCTTCTGCTGAGACTTTCTGAAAAACAAAATTTTTTTTTAATTTCAAAAAAATTCTGTCCGCAAAGTTTGTCCGCAAAATTAAAAAAAGTCCGCAAAATTAAAAAGAATTTTTCTGAAAATTTTTTCTGAAAAAATTTTTTGAAAATTTTTTCAGAAAAATTTGAAAAAATCTCAAAAAAATTCCAAAAATTTTTTGTCCGCAAATTAAAAAATAACTTGCGGAAAAACTTGCGGACAAAAATTTTTTTTTCAATTTTGAAAAAATTTCCAGAAAAATTCAAAAAAAATTTTGTCCGCAAATTCTCAAACAAAATTTTTTTTGAAAAAATTCGAAAAATTTTTGAAAAAATTTAAAAAAATTTTTGCGGACAAAACTTTCGGACAAAATTTTTTTCAATTTTGAAAAAATTTCCAGAAAAATTCGAAAAAATTTTTGAAAAAATTTAAAAAAATTTTTGCGGACAAAACTTTCGGACAAAATTTTTTTCAATTTTGAAAAAATTTCCAGAAAAATTCGAAAAAATTTTTGAAAAAATTTAAAAAAATTTTTGCGGACAAAACTTTCGGACAAAATTTTTTTCAATTTTGAAAAAATTTCCAGAAAAATTCGAAAAAATTTTTGAAAAAATTTAAAAAAATTTTTGCGGACAAAACTTTCGGACAAAATTTTTTTCAATTTTGAAAAAATTTCCAGAAAAATTCGAAAAAATTTTTGAAAAAATTTAAAAAAATTTTTGCGGACAAAACTTTCGGACAAAATTTTTTTCAATTTTGAAAAAATTTCCAGAAAAATTCGAAAAAATTTTTGAAAAAATTTAAAAAAATTTTTGCGGACAAAACTTTCGGACAAAATTTTTTTCAATTTTGAAAAAATTTCCAGAAAAATTCGAAAAAATTTTTGAAAAAATTTAAAAAAATTTTTGCGGACAAAACTTTCGGACAAAATTTTTTTCAATTTTGAAAAAATTTCCAGAAAAATTCGAAAAAATTTTTGAAAAAATTTAAAAAAATTTTTGCGGACAAAACTTTCGGACAAAATTTTTTTCAATTTTGAAAAAATTTCCAGAAAAATTCGAAAAAATTTTTGAAAAAATTTAAAAAAATTTTTGCGGACAAAACTTTCGGACAAAATTTTTTTCAATTTTGAAAAAATTTCCAGAAAAATTCGAAAAAATTTTTGTCCGCAAATTACAAAAAAATTTTTGCGGACAAAATTTGCGGACAAAATTTTTTTATTTTGAAAAAAATTCCAGAAAAATTTCCAAAAAAATTTTCCAAAAAATTCAAAATTTGTCCGTAAATTAAAAAATTTGCGGCCAAACTTTGCGGACAAAAATTTGCGGATAGATTATGCAGACAAAATTTTTCTTTTAAAATTCAAAAATAAACCTCAATTACAATTTCATTGCTTAATACTTGTTGAACATTTTCCCGATTATTTGGAGGAGGAGAATTTAATTGTTCGTCAAATTGCTCGATAAAATTGGCAATGTCCATTGTATCATCATTAAGTCCTAAAAAATTTTTTAATTAAAAAAATAGCGGGCAAAAGCTCTAACAAGGTCGGACCTTTTAATTTGGGTTTTAAGGCCTATGGGAAGATAAAAAGGCTCCCATAGGTAATCAATTCGGAAAAATGCCAAAAATGTCAGGAAATGTCATGAAATGTCAAAATATGTCAAGGAATGTCAATAAATGCCAAAAATGTCAGGAAATGGCATTAAATGCCAATTCTGCCAAGGAATGTCAATAAATTCCAAAAATGTCAACAAATGTCAAGGGTGAAGCCAAGGGCGTATCCAGGGGGTCGGTTTCGGGGGGGGCTAACACTGGGTGGGCGCAAAAATTTTTGGCGTTTACCTTGGCGTTCCGGACGCAAATTTTTTTGTACATAAATTTTCACTTTTTTTTGCGCCGCAGGCGAAAATTTTTTGAAGTTTAGAAGACTGTAGGCAAAAAATTCACTTATTCAGCGCCGCAGGCAAAAATTTTGGAAAATTTCGGGGTCCTTAAGACAAATTTCTTCCTTTTTTAGCGCCGCAGGCAAAAATTTTTTGGAATTTGGAGCCCAAGAAGCCAGATTTCTTCCTTCTCAGCGCCGCAGGCGAAAATTTTTTGATTTTTTTGGCCGTAGGCCAAAAAAATTCACTTTTTTTGCGCCGCAGGCGAAAATTTTTAAAATTTAGAAGGCCGTAGGCCAACAAAATTCACTTTTTAGCGCCGCAGGCAAAAAAAATTTTTAAAATTTAGAAGGCCGTAGGCCAACAAAATTCACTTTTTAGCGCCGCAGGCAAAAATTTTGAGGATTTTGGAGCTCAAGAAGCCAGATTTCTTCCATTTTTTGCGCCGCAGGCGAAAATTTTTTTAAATTTGAGGGTTGTAGGCGAAAAAATTTCACTTTTTCGACCATCCTTCTCCTAATTTTTTCCCCCTTTCTCCCATTTCGGGGGGGGCTCTAGCCCCCCCCAGCCCCCCCCCTGGATACGCCCTTGGGTGAAGCCATGAGGCTGAAGCCACCCTCTGAAATGGGGTAAAGGGGAAAAATCGGAAGAAGGATGAAGAACGTCCAAATATGTGACCGTCCAAAATCTTAAAGATTTTCGATTGTTGGCGCCGAAAAAAGTAACAATATAGGTTCAGAAAAATTTGTAAAAGCCAAAAATTTTGGTATACACGCAGTGTTAGCCCCACCTCCCGAAATCGATCCCTGGCGTGTCCGGAAATTTGGGCAGTGGACAATTGGGCAGTGTAAATTTGGGCAGTCTCAATATCCACCTATATCCTCTTAATCGCCTAAAATCCCCTTATATCCCTTGATGTCCTCCAAGTCTATCGATATCCTTCTTGGTGCACTGCCCAATTGTCCACTCTCCAACTGTCCACTCTCAAAATTTCCGGGGGCCAACCATGGCTACTCTTATGAAATGCTAGGGAATCAAAAAAAAAAATTTTGTGGACAAAAATTTTCTGTCCGCAAAAAATTTGCGGACAAAAAAGTTTTTGCGGACAATTTTCCCATTATACAATTTCCCCTATTTATAAATTAAAAATTATTCCAAACCTCCACCCAAAGCAGCAGCCATAAACGAATCAGTTGTATTAAACGGTCTAAGAAAATTTGTAGTTTCATCACCACCATTATTCATCACAACAGGTTGCTCTTCTTCTTGTTGTTGTTGTTGGTGCTGTATTGGAGAATTCTCTACAACCTTTTCCTCACAAATTTTGTTGTTTTCTTCCTCAATTAATTTTTCAATTGGAGCAACAGAGCAGTTTGGTGGTTGAATATTTAAAGGAGGTTCTTCTAATGCTGGTGGCGCTGCTGGTGCTGATAGAGGAGTTTCCAAAGGAGTTTCCACAGGAATTTCCAAACCCGTCTCCACAGCTCCCTCCAAAGCCCCCTCCACAGGAACTTCCAGAGCCGTCTCCAAAGCCCTCTCCACAGCTCCTTCCACAGCCGTCTCCCCAGCCCCCTCCAAAGGAGTCTCCAAAGCCCCCTCCACAGGAACTTCCAGAGCCGCCTCCGAAGCCTCCTCCACAGCTCCCTCCAAACCCGTCTCCACAAAAGTTTCCACAGGAACTTCCAGAGCCGTCTCCAAAGGATTCTCCAAACCTTCCAAGTTTTCCTCACAAATATTCTTCTTTCCCTCCTCTTCAGAAACAACAGCAGATTGTGGTTGTTTAAGTATTTGATTTTCACGTTCAGTAATCAAGTCGTCAACTTAAATTTGATTGAAAAATTAAAAAAATTTTGCAGCAGAAAAAAATTTTTTGCGGACACAAAAAATTTTTTTGTGGACAGAAAATTTTTTGCGGACAAAAAAAATTTGCGAACAAAAAAAAATTTTTGCAGACAAAAAAAACTTTTTTGCGGACGGAAAAAAATTTTTGCGGACACTAAAAAATTTTTTGCGGACAGCAAAAAAATTTTGCGGACACAAAAAAATTTTGCGGACAAAAAAAATTTTTGCGGACAGAAAAAAATTTTTGCGGACAATTTTCCCATTAAAGAATAATAACATAAAACAGCCTAACCCCCCCCCCCCTTTTTTTTTTCCTCGGAAATTAAAACCAAATTTAAGAAAAATAAGAAAAAATCAAAACCTAAAGATTGAACAATTTCCTCCATATCTTGCTGGGGCAAATCCTGCTGTGTTGGTGAAGCAATAAGTTCTTCAACATTGTTCTCAACGACTGGTTGTTGGTCTTTGGCTGGCTCTGTTAATTAATAAAATGGAATTTAATTGAGGATTTTTCATTGAAAAATACTCAAGAGAATTTTTGCGGACAAAAAATTTTTGCAGACAAAAAAAATTTTGCGGACAAAAAAAGTTTTTTTCAGACAAAAATTTTTTGCAGACAAAAAAAAATTTTGCGGACAAAAAATATTTTAAATTTTGCGGACAAAAAATATTTTTGCAGACAAAAAAAATTTTTGCGGACAATAAAAATTTTGCGGACAAAAAAAATTTTGCGGATAAAAAAAATTTTTTTGCGGACAAAAAAAATTTTGCGGACAACTTTGCATAAATCTAATCCGTAAAAAAGGCTTTTAAAACAGCTGTGCTCCTCCCTAAAGATACCCAAGGAATTATTTTTTATATGTCTTACGGACAAAAAAAATTTTGCGGACAATTTCAGAGTCCGCAAAATTTGTCCGCAAAATTTATCCGCAAAAAACCCTTTCAACCCCAAAAATAAAATAATTCCAAAAATTTCTTTAAAAAATTCTAAAATTTTTTTCAAACCTAAAGACTGAACAACATTCTCCTCCCTACGTTGTATTGGATCTTCAACAACAAAATTGTCTTCTTCAACAGGTTGTTCAATTATATCACCCTCGCCAAGAATTTCGTCCTCAAGTTGATTATTCTAAAAATTTTGAATTAATTTTCAAGTTTTCTTTTATTTGGGTTTTACATAAACTTTTAAAAAATGGTCCGGAAAACATAAAAAGTTCCCAAAAAAATTCCCAAAAAATAGTCTGGAAATAAAATCCGCAAATAAAGTTTGCCAAAAAGTCTGAAAGAAAAAAGTCCGCAAGCCAAAAACAGCCTGCAAAAATGGTCTAGAAAAGTCAGCAATGACGTTCGCAAGAAAAAGCTCGCAAGAAATAAGTCCGCAAGAAGAGTCTTGCGGACTTAAATAAGAAAAGTCCGCAAAAAGAGAGTTTAAAAGCAGAAGCCAAGCAAGGAAAAGGCTCGCAAGCAACAAAGTTAAAAAAAAAAAGTCCGCAAGGAAAAGTTCACTAGCGAAAAGTCCGCAAGAACAGTCCACCAAAAAAAGTCCGCAAAAACAATCCGCAAGAAAAAGTCCGTAAGCAAGACGTCCACAATCAAGTCTTGAGGAAAAGTTCACATGCAAAAGCTTGAAAGGAAAGTTCACAAGAAAAAGTCCGCAAAAATAATCCGCAAAAACAAAGAGCAAGAAAAAGCTCGCAAGCGAAAAGTCCACAAAAACAGTCCACAAGAAAAAGCTCGCAAGCGAAAAGTCCACAAAAACAGTCCACAAGAAAAAGCTCGCAAGCGAAAAGTCCACAAAAACAGTCCACAAGAAAAAGTCCGCAAGCAAAAGGTCCGCAAGCAAAAAGTCCGCAAAAACAATCCGCAAGAAAAAGTCCGCAAAAACAATCCGCAAGAAAAGGTTCGCAAGCGAAAAGTTCACAAAAACAGCCCTTCGAAAAAAAGAGTCAACAAGCAATCCGCAAAAGTTAACGCAAAAAAGGAACTAAAAAGGAGACAAAGCTTCTCTCCCCAACCCAACAAAAAATTTTTATTTCAAAAATTAAACCCCCAAACCTCATCATCCTGTTCAATTCTCAAAACTTTTTCAATCGAAACTCGCTTCTTAATTTCCTCTACCCAAGCATCAGGTTCATTCCATTGACAAGTTCCATCCTTCTTATTAAAAAAATAAAATTCTCCCGGATTTGTTCTAGATTCTTTCAATTCCCACATTCCAAAATGTGTTCTAGCCAGCTCTCCAAGAATTTGACGACATTCGGTGTCGGTAAAAATAAAGTCATTCTTCCATTCTCCAACATCAATGTATTTTTGAAGCATTTCATCGATTGGATGGACTTCCTAAATTTAAAAATTTTATTTAAGTCGAAAAAAAATTTTGCGGACAAAAAATTTTGCGGACAAATTTTGTCGACCACGCTATAATATAACGTCCCACTAACCAACCCCACTAAGCCGTACCCGGCCCAAGTAGGCGCACGGCCAAGTAGGCGCCGAGCCATAACTTGCTTCAAAATTTCCGAATCTTTCAAAATTTAGCATCAAACGATTCCTCTCATCGAGCTAAAGAGAATGGTACCAAAATTGTTAAGGTCCATAAATTTTTCAGGTAGTTATGGCTTTGCGCCTACTTGGGCTTGTCCACTAAAAATAGGTTTCTTCGAATTTTTTTCTTTTTTCAGCACCACAGGCGAAAATAATTTTGAGAATTTGAACGGTTATAGGTGAAAAATTTCACTTTTTCGATAATCCTTCTCCTAATTTTTTCACCTTTTCCCTCATTTTGGAGGGGGAGGGGGCTTTACTACGCCACTACTTGTCTACGCTATTGAAGCCCCTGGCTACGCCCTTGCCTTATAATGAGGTGTCGCTTAAATAGAGGTTATTAGGGTTAGACGGGATCGTTTAATTCGAGATTTATTTTTCCCTGTGGCTGACTTTTCCCTTCTCTCTTCTCTTTTTGACCAGCCACAGGGAACAATAATCGAGGTTTCTAAACGGTATCGTCCAACCCTAGAGGTTATCTTAAATAGGGGTATCTTACATAAAGGGTATCAGTTGGGCAGCTCTTCCCACTTCGTGCAGCTCTTCCCAACCCCCAACCCTCCCTGGCTACGCTCCTATAAAGAGGTATACCTAAAAGTAGGGACAGACCTACAACCCCAAAACTAGCTTAAAAATTCAAATAAAAAAACCTGTTTAATCACCGGCTCTCTACTTGAAGCATTCCCCACAGCATTCTGCACAACCTCTCTAATTGGAGGTACTTCAGGATGATCGCTAATAATTACTGTTGTATTTTGCGTGAAAGCGTTTGAAGTTTGTAAAGCCGGTCCACAAGTAGTAATTACGCTTCGATTATTGACCAGACAATTATTAGCCAGTTGATTTGTATTACTATTTTGATGCGGTGTAAATTGTGGAATCAAGAATGAAGTTGACGAGATATCTGAAGGGAAAAAATAAATTGAAAAATTTTTGCGGACACAATTTGCGGACAAAAAATTTGTCCGTAAAATTTTTGCGGACACAATTTGCGGACAAATAAATTTTTGCGGACAAAAAATTTGTCCGCAAAAATTTTGCGGACACAACTTGCGGACAAATAAATTTTAGCGGATAAAAAATTTGTCCGTAAAATTTTTGCGGACACAATTTGCGGACAAATAAATTTTTGCGGACAAAAAATTTGTCCGCAAAATTTTTGCGGACACAACTTGCGGACAAATAAATTTTTGCGGACAAATATACTTTGTTGCCATAACTTTGGTGACTATAGGGCGGTGGCTATCTAATTGTAAAATTTAAAAATACCAATTCTTGGTTGAGCAGCTTTTGTGGCAAGAGGAGTAGACGTGAAGGTCGGCATCCATCCAGACTTGTTAAAATCTTTAGTAGATGATGAAGTCATAGAAGAAAATGGTTGATTTGATAAAGGTGTTGTTGGAAAAAATGGGCGATTAACTAAAAAAAATAAAAATTTTGGGGATTTGCGGACAGAAAATTTTTTGCGGACACAATTTGCGGACAAAAAATCTGCGGACCAAAAAATCTTTTGCGGACAAAAATTTGCGGACAAATATTTTTTGCGGACACAATTTGCGGACAAAAAATCTGTGGGCAAAAAATTTTGCGGACAAAAAATCTTTTGCAGATAATTTTTTGCGGACAATAATCAATAAAATTGTAAACAATTATTGCGGATAGTTTAAAAGTCGAAAAAGTCTGCAAGAGTCCGCGAGAGGAAAGTCCGCAAATCAATTAAAAAAGTCCGCAAATACTGCCTCATTTTTAGGCTCCCCAAAAGGTTTCTGATGGTTTGTTAGATCCAACAGAATTAGGAAAAAAATTTAAAAAAATTTTCCCAACCTGCTGTATATATCGGACTTGGTGCAACAAAAGAAGGTTGACTATGAGGCATAAAATTCTGACCATTATTACTAGAGCCTGAAAACAAAAAAAAATTTTAAAAGAACCCAAGACGATCAATTTGTTAAGGGAGCAGGGGAGGACTTGTTGACATCTGAAAATTTCTACAATTCCAAAGGATGTGTTATCTCCCATTATTCCCCCTACCTTCCCAAACCTCCTACTTTTGGAAAGTCCGCAAGCATGGATTTGCGGACTTTCCTATCGTGGACTAATTGAAATCCAATACTCACATCGGACATTTCCGACTCGAAACTTGGCCAAGTTTGTCCTTAACCCAGCCCATTCCTGATATGCCCTCGATGGGAAGAAGGTTATAAACAACCCCCAACAACTCACGGGGTTAAACTCCCCTGGCTACTCCCCTGCAAAGAGGACGTATTACCAAAAATCCGATACCCGAACATTTTTCGACCCAAAAATCGCCCAAGTTTTTCCTTAACCCAGCCTATATCTGATATCCCCTCGATAGGAGGAAGGTCAAAAAACCGTCAAAAATCCTCCCAAAAACTCCCCCAAAAATTCTAAAAAATAAAAACCATTTTGTGAACCATTCTTTGCTCCATCACTCTTTCCACCACTTCCACCAGAATTCGAAGCTCCATTAGACAACAAAATTGGAGAGATTTCCGGCCTCGCATTCTTCTTTGGAAATTTGGTTGGTGACAGCTTTGGGGCGAAAAGTCCCGTATTTTGTGAAGTTTTTGACGATTTTTGTTGCGACTTTATTGTGCAAGTTTGGCAGCGACTGATAAAATCTTTGGCCATTTCGAAGCTTATATTGCCCGTAGCGAGGTTTGTTGACTCTTTGATAGCTTGGTAGAATTTTGCAATGTTGCACAAATGGTTGTGTTGAAGGTGAATTCTTAAAAAAGGGGTCAAAAGTGAGTTTAAAATGAACGAAAAAAAATTGCGGACACATTTTGCGGACTTTCTTTCAATGAAAAAAATTGCAGACACAACATTTTGCGAACTTCGTTGGCAAGAAAAAAAAAGTCCGCAAGAAAAGTCCGCGGAAAAATTGCGGACAAATTTTGCGGATTTCCTTGGGAAGAAGAAAAGTCCGCGGAGAAAAGTCCACAAAAACAGATCAAATAATCGGACAAATTTGCGGACAAACAAAAAATGCGGACAATTTTTGGAAAAAAGTCCGAAAAAATAGTTAAAATAAGCGGAAAAAATTTTTGGACAAGTTTAGCGGCCAAACTTTGCAAATTTACTTGGCAAGAAAAAAGTCCGTGAGAGAAAAAAGTTTGCGGATTTCCTAGGCAAAAAAGTCCGCAAAAAAAATGCGGACAAGTTTTGAGGACAACAAACCCGGACCCCAAACTTGTTTTTCAACTAGAGCTAGGAACGGGATCGGGACCCGGACCCGTTTTCCGGGTCCGTTTTCCCGGGTTTTTTAAATATACCGGGTTGAAACCGGGAACGGGTTTTCCCGGTTTGCCGGAACAAGACCAGTCCATTTTTCAGAACCCGTTACCCTGACCAGGTCGCGGTTTTTCAAAATTCCTAGCTCTATTTTCAACCAAAACCCGCCCCTTTTGTGTCTTGCTCCCAATCCCCCTCTCAACTTATAAATCATTTTTAAACAGCCCGAACTTAAAACTCCCCAATAAATTCAAAAACCTCTCAATTTCGTCAAAAACATCTTCCAACGGTATAACAAGTTTTCCAGATTTTAATTCAACCAAACGCAACACATCCCGTCCATTAACATCTTTTTGATTGCAAACATTGTAGACTGACTGAACATGGCAAGTTGGGCCATACTCCCCCATTTGTTGTAATGTCTAGGAAATAAATTTTGAGGTTAGAATAGTTTGGAGGACCTTCCTAGTAGAGATCGAGATTTTTGAAAAGCCTGGACCTGTTCTTGGGCTGGACTCCCGGTTTGATGTATTGACCTGGGCAGGATCCTGGGCCTGTAGTCCAGGAAAACCCTGGCCCAGGAAAACAACAGGAAGGTAAAAAATGCCTGGACCCTGGGTACAGGAAAAACAAGGGCCTTGGCCCTGAACCAGCTCTATCACAAAAACCCGTCAAAAAATCCTCAAAACTCACGCGACATATTACCCAAATCCAATACCCGAACACTTTCCCCACTAAATCACCAAACATTTAAAACACGACTTTTTAATAGCCTCGATAGGAAAACCCGGAAAAACCCGCCAATAGGAACCCCCTGGCTACGGGGCTGCAATTGTCCATCCTACTCCCATTAGCCGCCTCTACCCATTTTTAGGTGTCCCCTTTTGAGGTCCCTCGGTTCCCCCCTAAAATCGAATAAAAACAATAAAACCTCATTATATTTCTTTTGACTCATAGCCCGTGGATTGTTTAACTTGTCGTATTTCAACACAAAATCCGATTTTTCTCTGCTTCGGATCCTTGGATCATTCCAGCACGTAGACGTAGTCATTTTTTAAAATAAATTTATTATAATAAATAGACAAAAAAATCTAAAAATAAAACAAAATAATTTCCGGACAAAACTTGCGGACAATTAAATCTCGTAAAATTTGTCCGCAACTTTTATCCGCAAATGTTTGCGGACATCCGCACAAAAGTTGCGGACAAACCCTCTGTGAAGATTATTTGTCCGTAAATTTATCCGCAAGTATTTGCGGGCAAAAGTTGCGGACAATTTAATCTCTTAATAGATTGTCCGCAAGTATTTGCGGACAAAAGTTGCGGACAATTCAGTCTCAGAAAAGCTTTTCCGCAAATATTTGCGGACAAAAGTTGCGGACAATTCAGTCTCGGAATAGATTGTCCGCCAGTATTTGCGGACAAAAGTTGCGGACAAACCCTCTGTAAAGATTATTTGTCCGCAACTCTTATCCGAATATTTGCGGACAAAAGTAGCGGACAATTTGATCTCGGAAAAGAATGTCCGCAAAATTTGCAAACAAAAGTTGCGGACAATTTAATCTCTTAATAGATTGTCCGCAAATATTTGCGGACAAAAGTTGCGGACAATTCAGTCTCAAAAAAGATTGTCCAGCACGTAGACATTTGCGGACAAAAGTTGCGGACAATTCAGTCTCAGAAAAAATTGTCCGCAAATATTTGCGGACAAAAGTTGCGGACAATTCAGTCTCAGAAAAGCTCCTACTTACCGCCTACTTGGCCGCGCGCCTACTTGGGCGTGTCCCCGAAAATCTCATCCCACTTTAAGGTCCCCGGTCCTTTAAAGCCGCCGAAAAGCCTTTCAATTACTTTTACGTTTACTAAAAAACAATTTTTGTTAGGTTTATAGAATTTAGTTTGAAGGTTCTCTCCTTAGAAACACGTATTTATTTTGCCTTAACAAATAATTTTTGAAGGTAAAAAAGGCCATTGGTTAACAAAACAACACAAAACAAAAATTGATTCTCTTATAAAAATAAATGACAAGAAAAACATAAAGGAAAAACAAAAATAAAGGAGAAAACCAACAAAACAAACTCCTTTTTATAGTAAATGCAACTTTTTTTAGGACAAAACACCGTCCGACAAAACATCGTTAACGGTGACGTTTCGGCGCAGCCCCTTACTCGCGCCCTTATAACCGCGCCAAAAACAGTTGTGTCTTTATGGCCTGCGCCAAAATGACCACTTATTTAATTTTGCAGTGACAGGTACATTTTGGCGCAGCCCTTGCTCGTGCCTTATAACGCGCCAAAAACAGTTGTGTCTTTATGGCCCGCGCCAAAATGACCCCAACCCCTAATGCAAGTTAAAAATTTAAAAAATATTGGATATGCCCTAACAAGCATCTTTTTTTGAATTAAAAAAAATGTCTGGTAAAATTCAATTTATAACGATGCCAATAATATTTTGTATTTAGTGACCGATAAAATTGTATTTTCGAGATCCCGTTCTCACCAACTCCCTCTCTTTTAATCTTCTACAAGGGTACAGCCCAAACGGCGCGCGGCCATAACGGCGCAGAGCCATAACTTGCTTGAAAATGTCTGGCCCTTATCAATTTTGGTACCAATCTCCCTAGCTCGATGTGAGGAACCGTTTGATACCAAATCTGGAAGGATTAAGAAATCTTATAGCAAGTTATGGCTTTGCGCCGTTATGGCCTCGCGCCTATTTGGGCTGTACACCCTTAAACGGTAGGAGTGCATTAGATCCTGTTTTTTGAGCAGGTCACTAATTGTATTGAGGTCGTAGACAAAAAAAGAATGGAATAAAAATTTTCAGCAGCCTAATATAGGGTACGCAGTGGAACCTCACGTATAAAACCCCCATAAAGCAGAAATAATCGAGTCCACCCCTGAAGATTAATTTTAGGTGTATTTTATAGTGAGGTTCGACCGTTCACAACAAATGAAAAAAAATAATTTAAAAAACAAAAGCTCCTTTCCTTCCCCCAATAAAATTCTCAATCAATGCAGATAATATCATCGTCGTCCTCCTCATAATCTTTCATTTTGACCTCATTTTCTTCTTGCTTCTTTGGAGAAGCTATTGGGCTAATTGCACTTTCCCCTACAGCAATACTGTCATCAGATTTTTTTGAGGAAGCTGCTGATGCTTCAGAATCAGAAACACAATCCTTTAAAATAAGAAAAAATTTTAGAAAAATTAATTTTGCAAAAAAAATTTTGTCCGCAAAAATTAAGCGGACAAATAATTTTTGCGGACAACATTTGCGGATTTCTTAAATCACAATTTTAAAAGATTTCAGAATCAGAAACACAATCCTTTAAAATAAAAAAAAATTTTAGAAAAATTTTGTCCGCAAAAATTTTGCGGACAAAAAAATGTCCGCAACTTTTTGTCCGCAACTTTTTGTCCGCAAAAAAATCTGCGGACTTTCTTCTAAAAAGAAATACAGCTTAAAAAGGACAACTACCTAAATTTCATATCTATATCAAAATTCTACAAAAAAAGTCCGCAAAAATTTTATCCGCAAGATTTTTGCGGATTGTCCGCTAAATTTTTGCGGATCCGCAAAAAAAATTTTTTTCTTCACAAAACAAAGTCTACAAGATTTTGTCCGCAAAAATTTGCCATCGAAAAAAAAGTCCGCAAGATTTTTGCGGATTGTCCACAACATATTTGCGGATCCGCAAAAAAGCTTTTTCTTCAAAAAAATTCAGTATTTTACCATATTATTGTCCCCAACATTAGCACAACTTCCAACATTAACATTCTCATCATCTTCTTTATCAAGCGCAATAATCTCCAGATCAATATCAGTTGCCTCCTTTAAAGTAGTTGGCTGAAAGGCATCATTGTAGTGCGACGCTTCACTCGGTGTTGGACTTTTTGTAAAAATTTCCAAAATTTCCAAGTCATCAACGTCATCCTGAGCTGGTTCTTCTTCTTTGACTATTTGGCCTTCGGATTTCATCGTTGCCAACTTTAAAAATTTGTGTAAAAGTCTTTTCTTATATTTATTAATGGGGGAATTCCTTCCACCCCCCCCCCCCACACACAAAATGGAGAAAAGAAAAAAAATTCTAGGGAGGGTAAAAAAATGATTTTTTTGGCTTACAGCCTCCAAAAATTCGGTGCGAAAATTATTTCCTCCCTCCCCCTGAAAAACCCTAGTTACGGGCCTGCCCTTGATACAAGTTCCAAAGCCAGAGTATGGGACGCCTTCAACGCCAAAAATTCGGCGCCGAAAATGATCCCCCCACTATTCCCCTCCGAAATTTTTTTGGCTACGTCCTGCCTAATAGTACGTATCTTGTAACTTCCCCGTCCCCAAAAGTCGGTGAAATTGAGATTTTTTTGAAAATTCCCCGTCCCCGTCCCACACTGTAATAAAATAAAAAAAATTTCCCCGCCCCTCCCCGCTCCCGTGACGCTGTCTCGCCGAAAATTGTTCCCCGTGCCCCCCCCCCCCCCCCCCCGTCGGGGAACAACCCTACTTTTAACAAGGTCAAAATATTTTAAAAAATTTAAAAAACCTTTTCAGCAAATTTATCCAAAGGTGTAAGAGAATCTGCTTTACATGATTCACCATTAACAACTTGCCCTTCTTCTACTTGCTTATCATACATTTGACGAAAATTAATTGACCTGTGCAACTGAATTTTTTCTCGAACATTTCGAAGTATTTTGAGAATATAATCAGCTAAAATAAAAAAAATTTTTTTAAACTGAGGGAGGTTTTAATTTCAGGCAAATTTGAAATCTGCCGGAGAATTTAAAATTTGCCTATAGACTTAATTTATTTGCGGACTTTTTTTGCGGACATTCTAATTTTTTCGGACTTTTATATTTGCGGACTTTTATATTTGCGGACGCTTTATGCGGACTTAATTTGCGGATTTTTCTTGTAGAGGGTATTCTTTAGAAGCGGTCCGCAAGTAAAATGTTTTTATGCGGACATTTTATTTTTTGCAGACATTCTCATTTTTGCGGACATCTCTAAATTTGCGGACGCTTTTTACGGACATTCTCATTTTTTGCGGACTTTTTAATTTGCGGACGTTTTTAGCGGACATTCATTAACGGAATACCCATTTGCGGACATTTTCCACTTGCGGATACTCTTATTAGCGTATGCTTTATGCGGATTTTCTCATTTGCGGACTTTCTTATTTTTGCGGACTTTTTCATTTGCGGACTTTTCTTCTTGAAGGTATTCTTTAGAAGCGGTCCGCAAGTGAAATGTCTTTATGCGGACTTCTATATTTGCGGACATTCCAATTTGCGGATGTTCTCAATTTTGCGGACGTTTTTTAATTTGCGGACATTTCACTTGCGGACATTTTTTAATTTGCGGACATTTCACTTGCGGACATTTTTATTAATTTGCGGACATTTTTCAGTTTTGCGGACATTTTTATTAATTTGCGGACATTACCATCTACGGACATAACAATTTGCGGACTTATTCATTTGCGGATTTTTTTATAATTTGCGGACATTCTCATTTTTGCAGACTGTTTTATTGCGGACTTTTTTCATTTGCGGACGTTTTTTGCGGACATTTTACGGCAAATTTCAAACTTGCCCAAAATTAAAATTTCCCTCCTACATCCATCTCCAAAAATAAATTCACTTACAATACTCTTCCGTATCCACTTTAGGAACAAAACGATCATATAATGGGCAATCACCTTCATTGCGAATATGTTCAAGAAAGTCCCTAACATCTTCAAACTCGGGAATTCTAAAAAAAATCGTTTTGAGAAAATTTGGGTAATTGTGTCGTTTGGATAGGTTTTGCGGACTTTTTTTTATTTGCGGACATCTCTTGCGGACTTTTTTTAAATTTGCGGACATCTTTTACTTGCGGACATTTTTTGCGGACTTTTTTTAAATTTGCGGACATCTTTTGCGGATTTTTGTTATTTGCGGACATTTTTTGCGGATTTTTGTTATTTGCGGACATTTTTTGCGGATTTTTGTTATTTGCGGACATTTTTTGCGGATTTTTTGTTATTTGCGGACATATCTTGCGGACTTCTTTTATACTTCCATTTGCGGATTTTTGTTATTTGCGGACATTTTTTGCGGATTTTTGTTATTTGCGGACATATCCTGCGGACTTTTCTGCTTTCATATAAAAGTCCGCAAAAATCGTCCGCAAAACCCCCATCCAAACGACACCAAAAATTTCTAGCCAAAATAAACCTACAAATAATCTGACAATAAACCGCCAGGAGTATTGACAAATGTAGTCAGCATTTGATCCAAAGGCTCCAAATCGGTGTCATAAATAAAGATGGGATTGGGTGAACTTGAAACGCAATCAACTCTTAAATAAAAATTAATTTGTTGAAAATTGGTGTGGTCAAATCTCATTATAAGATACCTCTTTGAGTCTAAATTTGTACCTTATAAAGAATGTCGCTTAAATAGAGGGTACTCCCTCGAGGTGTCGCTTAAATAGAAGTCAACACTTGGGCAGTCCCCTCCTCGAAAATGATGTGTATCTAATGTTGGGTGGGGTACACTCCAACTTAACGCGAGCCCAACTCGTCGCAAAGCTATAACTTCGTTCAGAATGGTCGGATCTGTGACGCCATGGCATGTTCCAATTCAGCTCGCCGAGGCGCATCGAACCATACCAAGACGTACCGGATTCGACAATTCTGAACGAAGTTATAGCTCTGCGACGAGTTGGGCTCGCGGTAAGTTGGCCTGCTCCCTGTTGGGTGTATCATATAGAGGTTGTACCTTATAACGAGGTGTCGCTTAAATAGAGGACATCGCAAAGGCATCCACCCACCTCATTATAAAATAATATTTGAAGGGGGTGGGGTTATACTGAAAAATCCGCCGACAAAATTAAAATTTGCCGGCAGATTTCAAATATGCCTAAAATCAAATTGAAATTTTTGGGTATTTTAAAACTAAATCTGACCCGATTAAAAAAATATTTTTTTACATTGAAGCAACTTCAGCATCCTCAAACTCCGCATAATTTCTTTGTTCACATTCCATATCAAATGCTTTAGAAAGAAGTTTATCCCGGTACTCCATCAGTTTAATTCCCTGTTCATCGTTTATATCATATTCGTCGTCCTCAATTTCGTAGGTTTTCTCGATTGCTTGCTGAAATTTTTAAAGGGAAATTTTTTTGGTACTAGTGTAGTTTACCCCCCATAAGCCCCTCTCCATTGCTTGCTGAAATTTTTGTGGGGAAAATTTTGTGGGCATTGGTACTTGTGTAATGGCGCGTCGAACGCCAAAATACCCGTCTCCAATAAGAAGGACGAGGGAAGAAAAGGACGGGAGAAGAAAAAGGTTTGGGGCTCATGGGGGGTAAACTACACAAGTACCGATAACTCACAAGTAGGGTTGTCGGTTGCTGAAAATTTTTCGGATATCCGAGACCGAACCGAAGACCGAACTGAAAAATCCTTGGATTTCGGTTTAGTTCCAAACCGACAACCCTACTCACAAGCAAAAAAATTTTAAAAAATTAAAAAAAACCATTTTTTTATTAATCAAAAAGTCAAGTCGGCTTTCAGTACCAGAAAAAGTTGGGTGTCTCTTTGGTTTTGATTTGCGTTTTGGACGAACATCCTTCACAGGTGAACCAACTTGTTGTTCAACTTGTTGCTCAGAAGTCTCCATTTTTAATGAAATAAATTAAATTCTGAAAAATAAAAAGGAAGAGTAGAAAAAATGTTTTATAAAGAATTCAAAAGGTCTCAAAATGGGGCATCTTTTTCAAGTTTAGACCCCATCTAAATTGGACCCTCCACAAAAAGTTACGAGTGATTAAACTATGTTACAGGCAGAAAAATTGGCTTTTCGTCAGTTTTTCGGCTCTAACTTTTTGTAGAAAGGTCGATAAATTGCAAATCTATGATTAAAATAATCCCTAGATCAAGACCTTTCGAACGATGCGAAAATTATTCGAATCGGTCGAAAATTAAGAAAGTTATGATCGAATTTCTAACCCATCCTCTGCCAAAAACCTAAAAGTTGACAAATAAAGTTACCAATTAAAAGTTGACAAATTGAAATTCTTCTAAATTAAAAAATCAAAATATCAACTTTAAAAATCCCAAAAAGGCTTGAAGAAACCAATTTACCTAACTTTCTAACTGTCTCGCTCAACTTTATCGCACTCACTCGTTAATTTCTCTTTTTCATTTTCCTGCTCTCTTGTTTTTCCACACTCTTTTCATTCAAAATCCAATTGAAGGCTACAGCCTACGTAGGCGCAGGTCCATAACGGCGCGGAGCCATAACTTGCTTCAAGTTTTTCGTATCTTATCAAATTTGGTATCAAACGATTCCTCTCATCGAGCTAAGGAGATTGGTACCAAAATTGACAAGGTCCAGAAATTTTCTAGCAAGTTATGGCTTTGCGCCGTTATGGCCGTGCGCCTATTTGGGCGTGTTTTCAATTTGAGCGTCTTTTAAAAATGTAATCATTTTCAGTTTTTTCTTGAGATTTTTTTGTTTTTCAATTCAATTTCCTAATTTTAACGTCTCTTTACCTTGTTAAACATTTAATTTTGCAGAAAATATGTATCCAACAGTTAAACTTTCTCAACAACTTCTTAATACGCCTTTGGGTGGATATGGATTTGATAATTCCGCTATGGAACGGAATTTGGCTTTTAATGAATTGGCCATCAAAAATGGCGACAAGGAATGCAAAACGAATATTACAAGTACTGGAACGACTATTGTGGCTTCTGTTTTCAAGGTTGGAATTTTTGGCTTTATTTATGGACTGGTAGAGACGGGTATTTTTGAAAAGTCTGGGCCTGTTTTTAGACTCTGGGTTTGATTTTTTAACAACGGCCGGATCCTGGGTCTGTAGTCCAAGATAATCCCAGGCCCGGGAAAACCCAGAAAGGTAAAAAATGCCTGGACTCTGGTTGCAGGAAAACCCCAGGCCTTGGTCCAAACCCAGGCCGATCTCTATAAGCTAGGATTGGGCTGTTGGGCTATAAACATAGGGTTTCCATATGAGAATTTGTCACTTGTTGCATTTTACTAACATAAGCATAGAGTCTTTTGAGTGTCTGTTTTTGTTTTTGAGGGAGGGTCATGGGTCTGTCTCTTTTGTTTTCGATAGACGGTGAAGAGGGCAAAGGCCTGTATCAGGTCTTCGAGAAGGTGAGAGCGAAGGGTCTTTCTCTAAGGTTTCTCCAAGGTCTTTTCCTTGGAAAACCCTTCAATGGGGCCTGTTCAATGGGGCAAAGGGCCTGTATCAGGTCTTCGATAGGTGGTGGCTAAGGCCTGCTCCTCTACTAAGGTTTCTCCCTTCGAAACTTGCTCACCCTGAAATCACCCTCTGGCTACGCCCTTGAAGTTGAGAGTCTGCCTCTGTTTTTGAGGGGCGGGGGGCTATTGGCCTCCTGACTCTTCTATCTTTGATAGATTATGAGACGGACAAAGGGCCTGTATCGGTTTTTCGAGAAGGTAAGAGCGAAAGGTCTGTCTCCGCTTTCCCCAAGGTCTTTCCATTCGAAAACCTCTCAAACCCCCCAAAACCCAAAAAATTCCAAATTCCTTAAATCCAAAATTTTTAGGATGGAGTTATTGTCGGTGCAGATGCCCGTTCTACAATGGGAAATTTGGTCTCTGTCAAGAATGCTATAAAATTACATCGTATAACTGACTTAATTTACGCTGCTGGAGCAGGTTGTAAATCAGACTTGGAAAAAGTTACAGCAATGATGGAGACGGAAATGGAACTTTTTGAGTTGAATAATGAAGGGAAAAAGGCTCGTGTTATGATGGCTGGGCGTCGTTTACGCCAATATTTATTTCAGGTTTATTTTTTTGAATAATTTTGGGGGAATTTTTAGGACCTAGGGGCTCCGACTCGGTGGATAAGTTCGAGGTCAGGATTGAGAGTGTTCCTGGGCGGGTTCCTAAAAATCGTATTGGATTTGGGCTGGAATTTATGTGTGTTTTCACGGTTGGGTTTTTGGGGTTGGGTTTACAGGTTGAGACTCTGGGCTCGGGCCGACATTAAGGCCTGCTTCTCTATTTTTTGCCTATTTTCCATTTTTTACCTCCCGAATTGCTTCATTCCATTAGAATATCAAATAGGATGACCCCATGAGAAAATAGGCAAGAAATCGGTATTTGACCTAAAAACTTCAAAATTTCCTGGGATATGTCTCAGGACAAGTCATCGTCCGAACACATCACCGTCTACACACTAATTCCCAGAGTGCATTTTGTCGGACGGTGGTTTGTCCCTCACCCGATTGGGCTGGTTCCAGACTCGTTATGGTTGAAAATTCGGAATTAGGAGTGGGAATGGTTAGGTTTGTTTTGACGGAATCGTATTGGGTTGTGAATCGGTGTCAGTTTTCGGGGTAGAACTTCTCATGGTTAAACTTTTTCGGAGTTTGGGACTTTCGGGGTGAGGGTCCAGCCCTATTTTGGACTTTATTGCCTCCTTTTTTTCCATTCCTTTCCCATTTCTCCCATGTTTTGCTTCAACAAGCTTCCCCCCTTCCTCCACCCCTTTCTTCTCCCAAATGTGGAGAAGGGAAAAAGTTGGCCGTATTTTTTTGACTTTCGGGATTAGGATTCAATCTTATTTTGGACTTTATTGCCTCCTCTTTTTCCATTTCTCCTCCATTTTTCCCTTGTTTTGTTTTAATCTCCTCCTCCCCTCCTCTCCCCTTCCTCCTCTCCCCTTCCTCCTTCCCTCTCTTTCCAAAATGGGGAAAAGTAAAAAAATTGGCCTATTTTGCATTTTATCGGACGGTGTTTTATCCCTTACCCGATTGATATGAATATTCATAAGAAATTTTTTAAAATAAAATTTTTTTTAATTTAAGTATCAAGGCCATGTCTCCGCTTATTTATTAGTTTGTGGCGTTGATGCTACCGGAGCCTATTTATTCGAAGTTTCTGCCTCCGGCGGTGGATTTTTAAAGCCTTTTAGCGCTGATGGTTCAGGCTGTCTTTGTGCTATAGCTGAATTGGAAAATGGATTTAAGCCGGACATGACGGTTTTTTAGAAATTTTTAAAAAAGTAAAGGGGCGCTTCCCAGCGTTAATTTGTCTTTTATTCTCTTTTCCCCTTTGCATTTAACTCAAAAATGGGAAGAAAGAGTAAGCGTAGTCGTGGCCGAGTGGTTAAGGCGTTGGACTGCTAAATTTAATAGCTGCTATCCAATGGGATTTTCCCGCGAGAGTTCGAATCTCTCCGACTACGAAAACTTTTTTTTTGAAAATTTTTCAAAAAAAATTTATCGAAAAAATTTTCAAAAATTTTTTAAAAATTTTTGAAAATTTTTTCCGACAAAATTTTTATATTTTTGAAAATTTTTAATTTTAAGGAAGACGAATGCCGTAAATTAGTCTGTAAGGCAGTTGAAGCTGGAATGCATGGGGATGACATGTCTGGGTAAAAAAAATTTTTTTTCTAAATTTTAATTAGAAACTAAAGAATTTTTTTATTTAAAGGAATGCATACAACATCGCTATCTTCACTAAAAATGGTAAAAAGATGGAAGGGCCATTTGTTCCAGCATTTTCAAAGCGTAGCGAATTGGATGGAAAATATATTTTTGAGCCTGGAACTACGTTTGATTTTTTTGGAATTTTTTTAAAGGGCCCGCTCCAAGTAGGGGTCGAGTTATGTATCGTTCGATTCGTTCAGTGGTCGAGTTGAATGATAAATAAATAATATACCATATTTCTTCTAATAGTGCAACCGGTCGGATTATTTTTCAATCATCCTTTAGAGTGTCGGTTTATTAGAAGGGGTCGGTCTAATAGAGATTATTAGAAGAAATACGGTAAGTAATATAGGTACGGGAATGCCTGTTGGTTTGAAGTAAGATGTGAGGGGATTAGGGAGGGATACTGGTGATTAAGCGGATTTGGGGGATTTGAAAGGATTATGGGGGTTAAACGGATTTGAAAAGATCAAGGAGAGATAAGTGAGATTAACGGGTTAAGAGAGATTAAGTTGATTAAGATAGAGATATCGAATCATAGGTCCACAAAAACTGGAGAAACACATAGGTGGTGGACCAAGCTTATTTTTTGGGGTGTCAAAAATCAAATAGACAGGATTAAGGATGGATAATGGGGATTAAGCGGATTTTGTTGATTAAGGAAAAACTCAAATTTTTGGAGCGATCCCTTGACTGGCCTAGAGCTTAAAAAATAACAAAAAAGAAATTTTTTTCAGTACTGTTCTCAAAACAAAAGAAATTCAGAAAGATGTGGAACTTTGCGGAAATTTTGTTACGCCAATGGAGACTTGAAAGAATTAAAAAAGATTTTTTGTGAAAAATTTTGCTAAAAATTTGTGTGTTTTTAAAAATGGTTTATTTTTTGATAATTAAAATATTTTTTGTTTTGGGATTAAAATAATTTTCCCCCCAATTTTCGTTGCCAGTTATCCCTTGATACATGTTTTCCCTTGCTTATCATTTTCTGTAGTGTTACCCGAACAGAACCCGATCCGAGAAGTTCTCCAAAATCCACTCGAACTCCAGACTTTTCAACCCGTCCTATCCCAGCCATAGGCTGCTCGTCGTCCTTTCCTGCTCGGGTGAGATGCAAAGGGCAAAACAAGGGACGACAAAATACGGCCAAACACGGTCTTACCAAATCACGAAACGACCAAAACACTGTCCAGAAGAAGCATAAAAATGCAGATTTTATCTCTAAACCGTATTTTGTCTTTTCCATGTTTTATCCGTTCCGTGTTTTAGCATGAACATCCCTGCTCGTCTTTTCCCTGCCTCCTTGTTAAAAAATTTTTTTTCAATTTCTTAGACTCATTTTTATATTTTCTGAAAAATTTGAAGAAAAAAACATTTCAAAATTTGAAAATATTATATCAAAAATATAGATAATCTCTCATCTTTTTTAAAAAAATAAATTCAAGACAACCCAAATCCAAGAAGCGCCCCTCCAAGAAATCCACCAATTGTTCGAATATTTTGAATTAAAAAGTTGCTTATCTTTAAAAGAAATTTTTTTATTAAAAAAGGTTCCTTTTCTTTATCCTCTTAAGAAGTCCGCAAGTTTTCTCCACGCGCCGAATTTTGCGGATCCGATTTTGTCCCCTGACTTTGAAAATTTCAAAAATTTAAGTCTGCACCGTTAATTACGATGAATTCTGGCATCTGGACCCTATGAAATGGACATATAAATGAATTGGTTTGATGAATTTTTTGGATTATTTAAATTTTGAATAATAAATAAATTTTGAAAAAATATTCGTGTCGGTCATAAAATTTTGGATCCGCAAAGATCATGTCCGCAAAGTTCGGCGCGCCGAAAAATACATTCGGATTTCACTTATAGACCGACCATTGGGTCTGAAATAAATTGTATCTTATACTGATATTTTTGATTGGTTGTATCTTGATTTTGCGGACAAAACTTGCGGACTTTTAGAAAAACTTGCGGAGTACAGCTTGGGTCTGAACTAAATTGTACCTTATAATGAGGTGTTCGTCGATTTTCTTTTTTTACGGACTTTTCAAAAAATTTGCGGACTTTCCAAAAAACTTACGGACATTCGAAAAATTTGCGGATTTTTAAAAAATTTGCGGACTTTCTGAGAAACTTGCGGACTTCCCTAACGAAAAATAAAAAAAATACCACTCCATTATTCGTTGATTTTCTCGAAATTAAAGCCTCTCCCTTTGCCACACAATTATCAACCCAATTTTTTGTTTCTCCATTATTAACAGTCCCCAGAACAGCAGAAAGTTGTTCCTTTGCCTGTCCAATGTCTCGACTCAATCTTTTTTTGTTTATTGTTAAATAGCCTTGGCATTCAAATAACTAAAAATTATGGGGAGATTAATTTATTAGAAAGTGGGAGAGGAAAAAGTGGTCCCTGAGGTTAGGACTGAAAATGAGGGGTTACCTGACATTTGCGGACAGACCCCAACTTGCGATCGGGGATTGCCCGACATTTGCGGACAGACCCCAACTTGCGGACAAATTTTTGCGGACAACCCCAATTTTGCGGACAAACCCCAACTTGCGGACATACCACACTTGCGGACTGACAGTTGCGGACAAGCCTCAACTTGCGGACTGCACTTGCGGGCAGACCACACTTGCGGACAAAAATTTGCGGACAGACCCCAACTCGCGGACAGACCCCAACTCGCGGACAGACCACACTTAGGGACAGAATGTCATTTTTTCTTATTTTAAAAATGAGAAAAAATAAATGACAAATGTCTGCAAAAAATGTCCGCAATATTGAACTTGCGGACAAATTTTTGCGGACAAACCACAACCTGTGGACGTACATTTGCGGACAACCCTATAAACCAGCCCAAATCTTATTAAAATTAAACCAATTCTAATCCCTAAGGGTAAAATAAAACATAAATGAAAAAAGAAACCTGAACAAGTAAAATAGCTCCACCAACAAATGCAGCAACAAATTTGCTCGTTTTGCCAAATAAATAACCGGTCACCCTGAAATAAAAATATTTTTCTTTATTTTCACAAAAATCCGCAAGTTTTTGCGGACAAGTCTTTGCAGATTTATTCTCATAAAAATTAATTTTTGGCCGATTTGCGGACAAACCTTGCGGACGTCCGCAAAAATTTGTTAGCAAAAAATTGAGAAAATTATTTTTTCGATTTGCGGACATCCATAAAAGTGTCCGCAAGGAATGGAAATTTTATGCAACTTGCGGATGTCCGCAAAGACTGTCCGCAAGATTGAGAAATTTTACCGTAACAAAAATTTGCGGACAACTTTTTGCGGACACTTTTTCCTTGACAAATAAAAGTCCGCAAAAAGTTTCCGCAAGTTTTTTCCGGAGACATTTTTTGCGAACTTTCGCAACTTGCGGACAAAACTTGTGGATGTCCGCAAAAATTTACAAAAAATTTTTTCAAACTTGCGGACTTTTCTCCAACAAACAACTTACACTCCCCCACTCGCCCCAACAGCAATTTGAACAACGGGCGGTTGATCACTCACATTTGCAACGGCAAGCACATCCCTTATAAAAGGTAACAAAACTCTATCATCATCATTATCAGAATTTCCTCTATTAACTCGGGCTGTCGAGTTAGTCGAAGTCACAGCCGTAGTTTTGCTATTATTTTTCATTTAAAGAATATTTTGCTAAAAAATTAATTAGAAAATTAATAGAAAAATTTTGGCATCACCCAAGAAGAGACGACTTTTTGCGGACAAATTTTTTGTCCGCAAATTTTTTGCGGACTTTTTTCTACAATTTTTATTTCCTCATTTTTTCATATTTTAAAATGAGAAAAAACATACCTATGTGAAAAATGTCCGCAAATAGTGTCCGCAAGAAAAAAATTTGTCCGCAAAAAACTTGCGGACAAATTTTTGCGGACTTTTTCCTTGAAAATCAAAAGTCCGCAAAAAAAGTCCGCAAATTTTTTGCATACTTTTTTGTAATAAAGAAGAGTACGAAAAGAATTTGTCCGCAAAAAACTTGCGGACATTTTCTTGCGGACTTTTATTTTTCAAGGAAAAAGTCCGCAAAAAAAGTCCACAAAAAGGTCAGTCAGTCTTTTCTTAAATAATGCCAAATTAAAAAATATAAAGCCTAAAGGCTTTTGTAAATATTACAAAATTAAAACAAATATTAAATAATTCCATAACATTTATAAGCCTAAAAACATTTAATTAAATTATCCAAATTAATTGTTGTAAAAGCCATTTGGGCATAATTTGGATTTTTATCAATTTCTAAATTTTTGTTTTTGTTGCCAGTATCAAATACAACATGGGCGCGACGAGAAATATAATCGCCTGGAAATTAAAAAATTGTAAGGGGAAAGATAGGCATATTTGGACCTCATTCTTAAGTATCCCATCCCCACGGGGCTGAAACTATCGTACCTTATAATGAGGTATCTTAAATTGAGGTGTTTTAATATTGGGGTATCTAAAAATGGGGTTCGGTACTTATCGACCCTCCTTTATTCCCCAACTAAAAAATCCGCAAAAAAATTTTTTCCGCAAAAAATTTGCGGACAAGTCCGCAAATTTTTTGCGGACAAATTTTTTGCGGACTTTTTTCCATATTTTTTTATAATTTTTATTTTCTCATTTTATAATGTGAAAAAATGAGTAAATAAAAATTATAGAAAAACAGTCCGCAAAAAAGTTCCGTGAGTAACCGATAAGTACCACCAACCCTTATGCACTAGTTTAAAATTATACCAATATTCGAAAAAGAAGCAATTTGACTTATTTTATCGCCACCAATTTCATCAAATCCTCTACCAATACTTAACGATGAACGTTCCCAAAGTTGAAGATTTTCTGGTTGTTTTACAGATACTTAAAATTTAGAAAAATTAAAAATTGGCACAATTTTGTTCAGAATTTGGGGGTCGTGGGTTCGAACCCGCTCGAGGAAATTATTTTTTTAATTTCTAAAAAATAAGGAAGGGCATCATTTTGAAGACTCTTGGTGATTTTTACATCAGAGAATTTTAATTGAATGGAAAAAACATGATTTTAGACACAAGAACATGCAAATACGGAGAAGGGGGGTCGTGGGTTCGATCCCGCTCGGGGGAATTATTTTTTTAATTTCTAGAAAAAGGGCAAATGAACTACTCGTACTCGCGTACTTGGTATTAAAAGAAAAATCGAAAAAAATATGTTTAATTTCTTTCGTCCCCCTCATATGAATGGGTGGCCCAGTGGTTAAGGGGTTAGACTTCACCCAAAGCATTGATGATTTAAAGATGGGTTTTATGCCTTGTCAGAGAATAAAGAATTTTCTTATTTTTCTTTCCATAATTAATTTATTTTATGAGTTTAATCTTGTTTTAAAAATTATATTCTATTTTTACATTGAGGAATTAGGGCCTTTTGGCTCTCCAAAATTTATAAAATTCCTTGTTAGACAAAGAATGGTTAATTTTTCCGCCCAAGGCCTTCTGAAATTTTAAAAAATTTCGCCTGCGGCGCTGAAAAAAGAAATCTGGTAGCTTATTTTTCTAGATTTCTTTAAAATTTTCGCCAGCGACCCTAAAAAAGAAAGTTGTATGTTATATCGGAGGAGTTGGATGGATTAAGGTGGATTTTGTTCTATATCGTACCCCTCCTTATTCCACTGATATGCCTAAAATCACCCTTACAATTCCGAACCTTTATATATCCCGTTATCAAACACGTATATCCGACAAATACCACTTAATCGCTGATGAAATTTTTGGTTCTGTTTCGGATAACCGAAAAATTTGGTGAAACCGACAACCCTGCTTAAAATAAAAATTTTTAAAAATTTTCTAGCAAAATTTTTAAAGTTCCGGTTCCGGTTCCGGGCCGGAACTTAGAAAAGTTCCTGTTCCGGTTCCGGGAACCGGAACTCAAATTGGTTCCGGTTCCGGTTCCGGTCAAAATTTCGGTTCCGGCGAAACCCTAGTTCTAACCCGCTTGGGGGAATTATTTTTTTAATTTCTAGAGAAAGGGAACGGAACACTATTTTTAACAGTTAAAGTAATTTTGAACTTTACACATTTTTAAATTAGAAAAAATAGGATTTCAGGCCCAAAACATGAAAATAGGGGGGTCGTGGGTTCGAACCCGCTTGGGGAAATTAATTTTTTGATTTGTAGGAAACGGGCAAGAAACACTATTTTGAACAGTTAAAGCGATTTTTGAACTTTACATTTTTTTAAATTAGAAAAAACAAGATTTTAGAACCAAAAATATGAAAAATAGGGGGTCGCGGGTTCGAACCCGCTTGAGGAAATTATTTTCTTTTAATTTCTAAAAAAGGGCAATGAACACTATTTTGAACAGTTAAAGCGATTTTTGAACATTACGCATTTTTTAAATTAGAAAAAACAAGATTTTAGAACCAGAAATATGAAAATTGGGGGGTCGCGGGTTCGAACCCGCTCGGGGAAATTATTTTTTTAATTTTTAGAAAAAGGGCCAGGAACACTAATTTTGGACAGTTAAAGCGATTTTAGATCTTAGTTCATTTTTTAAATTAGAAAAAACATGATTTTAGAGCCAAAAATATAAAAAATAGGGGGTCGTGGGTTCGAACCCGCTCGGGGGAATTATTTTTTAATTTTTAGAAAAAGGGCCAGGAACACTAATTTTGGACAGTTAAAGTGATTTTAGATCTTAGTTCATTTTTTAAATTTAAAAAAACAAGATTTTAGAATCAAAAACATGAAAATTTGGGGGTCGTGGGTTCGAACCCGCTCGGGGGAATTATTTTTTTAATTTTTAGAAAAAGGTTAAGGGACACTATTTTAGACAGCTAAAATGATTTTTGAACCTTCCACATGTTTTAAATTAGAAAAACAAGATTTTAGAGCCAAAAATATGAAAAATTAGGGGTCGCAGGTTCGAACCCGCTTGGGGAAATTATTTTTTTAATTTTTAGAAAAAGGACAAAGAGTAAGATTTTGAACAGTTAAAGTGATTTTTAAACTCTACACATTTTTTAAAATTAGAAAAAACAAGAATTTAGAACCAAAAACATGAAAAGGGGGGGGGGGGGGTCGCGGGTTCGAACCCGCTTGTGGAAATTATTTTTTTACCCCTCAAAAAATATAAAAATAAACCTTCAAGTTCTTCCTCCTCCAAGATTTTTTTCAAAAAATTTTTCAAAATAGTAAAAATTTCAGCTTGTCTTGAAACACATTCTTCTCTATCCCTTCCAATCGTTAAAATCGAAATTTGTTCAGTTTGAAAAAATTTTGACAAATTTTTTGTTGTTTTGTAATAAACTGGGCCAGCAGCTATTAAACTAAGAGGACAATTATTTGATGAAGTTAAACAACCATTTACTAGAATTGATAGAAATGATGGAATATTTGTTCCTAAATCGGGGAGAAAAATAGTTAAGGGAAAATTGCGGATAATATTTTTGCGGACAAATTTTGCGGATAATATTTTTGCGGACAAATTTTGCTGACAAATTTTGCGGACATTTTTTGCGGCAAATTCTTGCAGACAAAATTATTTGCGGTCAATAATTTTGCGGACAAATTTCGTGTACAAATTCATGGGGACAATATTTGCTGGTAATTTTTCACTGATAATATTTTCCGGACAAATTTTTTGCGGAGTATTCTTGCGGCCATTCTTGCGGACATTTTTGACAAACAATATTTGCGGACAAATTTTTGCAGACAATTTTTCTGCAAACAAATTCTTGCGGAAAATATTTTCTAATAATTTTTTCGGTCAATATTTTGCGGAAAATTATTGCGGACAAAATTTTTGCGGACTATTCTTGGGGTCATTTTTGACGGACAGAGCCTTGGCTACAATATTTACGGAAATGTTTTGCGGACAATATTTGCGGACAAATCTTTTGCGGACAAAACTTTTGCGGACAAATCTTTTGCGGACAATTTTTTGCGGACAAATCTTTTGCGGACAAATCTTTTGCGGACAAATCTTTTGCGGACAAATCTTTTGCGGACAAATTTTCCCCTAATAAAAAAATTTTTATCCTTCTTACCAACTAAACATAAAGGAGGATCAACACAATCAGTAATTAAAGGAACTTCATTCAAACAAATATTGCAACATTCAACCAATGCTGGACGAACAAGATAAGGACCACTAAAATGAACTGGAGCTGGTTTCAATTTTCTAATTAGAAAATTTAAAAGCGAGGAGCGAAGTTTGTTTAATTGAATTGTTGAATTATTTGGAGTTTGTTGACATCTAAAATTGAAAAAATAATTTATAAAAAATCCTTGTAGTGATTGCGCTGGGTATGGATCAAGGCCTGGGATTTTTTCTGTACCCAGAGTCCAGGCCCAGGCATTTTTTGACCTTCCTGGGTTTTTCCTGGGCATGAGTTTTTTCCTGGACTATAGGCACCGGATCCGGCCCAGGACAATAAATCAAACCCAAAGTCCAAAAACAGACCCAGGCTTTTCAAAAAGACCGATATCTACACCCTTGGGGGTCGAAAAAATCGTAAATTATAATAAGGTGTACGTTTAAATTGGGGATATTACTTTGGTAGTTTCTCAAGCCATATCCTAAATTTAAAAAAACTTATCTTATAATGAGACGCCTCGGGACCAAAAAAAGCCTAGTTTCGAGTTCGGATCGAACCAAATATAAATTTCGAGTTCGAATAATCCGACCAGTCCCTAATTAATATTCCTTTTACAAGCACGGATCATGGATAGACCTGGCTAAACCAGACCCAAGGAGTAGCCCCCAATCTACTTCAAAACAAGGGGGCTACCCGAAACTAAAAATCAATCCCCGGACATATTTCGACCTTAAATCCGAACCCGAAAAACCTTCGAAACCCCCCCCCCCTCAATCGGAAACTCCAACTTACTATTTTCCTCTACCTCGGCCCATCCCAGTTACGGACCCAACACCCTCAACTTAATTTTAACACCAAACCTCACATTTTCCACAATCTCATCCAAATCTGTTCCATTAAAGTTGTTCAAAACATATTTTTGATTAATTTCTGGTTCAACATCCAAATAATTAGGCAAAGCCAACGCACCCAAAAGTCCCTCAGAATGTTTAAGTAACTCACTTCTAACCTCAATATATTTATCCCGTTGATTGGGGTCCTTTAAAAAATTGAGGAAATATTTTAAACAAGATTTTTGGCATTTTTAGAGGAGAACAAAACTTGCGGACAATTTTTGCGGACACTTTTTTAGAAGAGAGGAAAACTTGCGGACAACTTTTGCGGACAATTCTTTAAGGGAGCAAAACTTGCGGACAAATTTTTGCGGACAATTCTTTAAAAGAGCAAAACATGCGGACAATTTTTGCGGACACTTCTTTAAGGGAGCAAAACTTGCGGACAATTTTTAGGGGAACAAAACTTGCGGACAATATTTGCGGACAAACTTTAAGGTAACAAAACTTGCGGACAATATTTGCGGACAATTTTTAGAAAGCAAAACTTGCGGACATTTTTTTGCGGACAATTCTTTGCGGAGAGAAAAAATTTGCGGACAATTTTTAGAAGAGAAAAAACTTGCGGACAACTTTTGCGGACAAATGCATTTTTGGGTGTTTTAGAAAAAAGATTCTGATTTTTGGTTCTTGCTCAAGCATAAAATGACTGCTTCGTTAAAACGGCGTAGACCCACAGACAAAAGACCCACAACAGATAAAAGAACCAATAGTTTAGACATAGACCTATTCCTATTATCGCTGCAGTGGGCCCGCCTGGCATCCTCCATAGCAGCAAAACCTCCACGGAGACCACAGGAAAGGAGCCAATATGAAAGCACAATAGAATAAAAATAAGAAAACTGGTTCTGGGTCTTCTGTCTGTGGGTCTTCTGCGTCGACACGTGTTAAAAATAATCTCCTACATTTTTGCGGACAAAAAATTTATTTTGCGGACAAAATCCGCCGTCGTTTAAATTTCTTAAAGCTTAATTCTCTTCTTTAAAATATCAAAAAATTTAAAACCTTTTTATCCACACCACAATTAACCAGATTGCTGTAAGCCTTCCACCAGCGAAAATAATCGTCTCTAATTTTGGGCAAATTTGAAATTGAATCGAACATGTGCCTTTTCTTAAGATTTTCCTTCAATTTTTCAACTAAAATTTAAATAGAAAGGTTAAACCTCGCTATAAGATACACTCCTCTTGGGGGTGAAAAATAGGACCTTATAATGAGGGGTGTCTTATTTTGAGGGATATCTTATAAGGAGGGGATCTTATAACGGGGGTATCATATTGAGGAGTATCTTAAATAGAAGTAACCTTATAACGAGGTGTACATTATAATGAGGGGTACCTTATAATGAGGGAGTATCTTATTTTGAGGGTATCTTATAAGGAGGGGATCTTATAACGGGGGTACCTTATAATGAGGGGTACTTTAAATTGAGGGACCTTATAATAAGGAGTAATTTAAAACGAGGGGTACCCTATAATGAGTGGTATCTTATTCTGAGTGGTATCTTAAAGTAAGAATTTCTTGTGAGTATCTTAAATTGAGGGTATTTTAAAACAAAGGGTACATCATAATGAGGGATCTAATAATGGAAGTATCTTAAATTGAGAGTATCTTAAACCGAGGGTGCTCTAAAATGAAGTAACTTAAATTGGCGGTATCTTATGGGGGGTAAATTATAATGAGGTTTTTACGATAACATTATATACAAGATACCCTCAATTATGAGATACCTTCAGTTTAATGAACCCCTCATTATAAAGCACGATTTTTGCGGATCAAGGGAGTGTGTAAAAGTGAGGTCCCCTTACTAAAATAAATTTTAAAAAATCCAAACCGTTTGCAAATTCTTCTCTAAAATCCAAATTTGGGTCAACAACATGAAGCGGAGTAATGTTAAATTGACATTGATTTGAAAGTGAAATAATATTTTCTGCAAGCTTTGGAACAAATCGAGCAGCTAAATGTCCCATTTTCTTAAAGGGGAAAAATTTTTTAAGTGAAAAAAAATTTAGAAATATTCCTGTAGTAAATAAACAAATTTTAAACGAATATAAAAAATATAAAAATTGAACTTTTATCGTGTTAAAAATTTTTAAAAATTAAAAAAAAATTTGCGGACAAAAAAATTTTTTGCGGACATGTTCTATCTTTCCCATTTCTATAAAATAATGGGGTCTATCAGTAATTAAAAAATTTTTTGCGGACAATTTCTATTTTTTTTGGCTTTCCCATTTCCCTCTAAAATATTGGAGTATATCAGTAATTTAAAAAAAAATTTTGCGGACAAAAAAATTTTTTGCGGACAATATTTGCGGACAAAAAAATTTTCTCGGACAAAAAAAATTTTTTGCGGACAAAAAAAATTTTTTGCGGACAACAAATATTTTGCGGACAATTTCTATTTTTTTTTGGCTTTTCCATTTCCCTCTAAAATATATTGGGGTCTATCAGTAATTAAATTAGGTACCAACCAACTCCCTTACGGACAAAAAATCCGCATAAAACTTTTTATCTGCAAATATTGTCCGCAAAAATAAATTTTTGTCCGCAAGAGTTTATTGCACATCAATCAAAATTACATAAATATACATACAGATTCTATTTTTAAGATCATTAATAGCTTTTCTGTTATAGGCATAAATGTCCGCAAGTTTAAGTCCGCAAAAAAGATAGGAACCCAAAGGAAAAACACTGGGACCAAAATGGTCAAGGGGTAGTTTCTATAAAAGAGGCGGCCTTATAAGGTGGCGGCCTTAGGACCGACCAAAATTCGACGGGTCCGTTGTTTTCGAATGCCGGGCCCCGTTTCCCTTTTCTGTGGACAAAATCTTGCGGAAATTTAAAGTCCCCGTCTTTTTCCTAAAAAAATCGCCAGGAACCTAAAGGAAAAACACTGGGACCAAAATAGTTAGAGGTCGTTTCTATAAAAGGGACGGTCATATAAGGGCAAAAGACCTCAAGGGCCGACCATAATCCATGAGTCCCTTGCTTTTGTAAGCCAGGTCCCGTCCTCACTATTTTGCGGACAAAATCTTGCGGACATCCATGGGTTCTTGTTATTTCTGAGGTCCCCGTTCTCTTTTGGGGACAAAAGAATTGCGGACAAAATCTTGCGGACATTTATGGCCCCCTTCTTTTTTCTATGAGGTTCCCCGTTCTCTTTTGGGGACAAAAGAATTGCGGACAAAAACTTGCGGACAAAATCTTGCGGACATCCATGGGTTCTTGTTATTTCTATGAGGTCCCCATAAACTTTTGCGGACAGAAACTTGCGGACTGAAACTTGCGGACATGTCTTTTTTCTACAAGGTCCCCACCCTCTTTTTGCGGACAAAAACTTGCGGACATTTATGGCCCCCTTCTTTTTTCTATGAGGTTCCCCGTTCTCTTTTGCGGACAGAAACTTGCGGACTGAAACTTGCGGACATCTATGGTCCCAAGTCTTTTTACTATAAGGTCCCCATTCTCTTTTGCGGACAAAAATTTGCGGACTTTGCCCCTATAACTGAAAAGAACCCCCAAAAAAATTAAAAAAAACCTCTTCTCAATATCCCCAAAAAATCAAGGATTAATCAATTCTTTTAACCTTTTCTTTAATCGATTCCAACAATTTTTCTCTAGCCATAAGAACAGTTGGATCCTTATCTTTTTGTATTTGCTTTCCAAATGAAATTAATTTTGGTTTAATTTCTTCTTCTTTTGAATCAGCAGACGGGGAACAATCCGTTTTTTCATCCAAATTTGCGGACGAATTTTTGCGGACGTCCGCATCCAAATTTGCGGACATATTTTTGCGGACGTCCGCATCTAGATTTGCGGACATATTCTTGCGGACATCCTCCAGATTTGCGGACATATTTTTGCGGACATCCGCATCCACATTTGCGGACGTAGTAGTTGCTTCTTTTGCAAGGGGAGAAAATTCTGTTGTTTGTTTTATTTCTTTGGTCTTTTCTTCGGGTAAATTATTGCCTTTAGTTATACTTTCTGTTGCTAGTAGTATGTCTGAAGAAGAGGCACCTTCTGATTTGCGTTGAGCTCGACTAGAAAATTATTTTAAAAAATTTTAAAAAAGGGGTAATCTAAAAGAGACATTTTTGCGGACACGGACTTGCGGACAAAGTGTCAACAAGAAGTGGACAGGGACAGCTGGAGGTGTTGTAAATCGTAGGAGTTGGGAATCGGAATTGCATAGTTGGTGCTCACAATTAGGGTTGGGGGCCCGATCCGGCCCGGTCCGAAAAATCGAGTCGGGCCTCGAATTTTGGCCCGAAGAAGACTCGGTCGGGCGGCCCGAAAAAATGTCTTGAACGTCGGCCTGACTCGAAAACCCCAACCCTACTCACAATCAACTCGAAGAAGTTTTAGGAAGGCATAGATCACCTAGATCCAGTGCCCAATCAAATTTTATATAATGAAAACCAGCAAGAGAAAAGTCAGTAAAAGTGTCCGAAAAAATACCCCCAAAAAGTTCCGTGAAAAAGTATCCACAAAAAATGGATAATGACGACGACTTATCAGTAGAGGGCGGATTTATAATGCAATAAACTACACAAACGACCATGGTCATCAACAATCCTTGTCTGACCATCGAGTACAAATGACCAGTGATAGATGTGCTAAAAAAATGGAGAGACAGTGGTCAGTTCGTGGGCAGGGTCGCTTCAGTGATTTATTTTTAAAAATCAGCCCTCTACTTATCAGTTATTTACCCTTAACTTTGATGGGTGAAGGAGGAAATTTATACTTAAATGACCCAAAATTTAAAAAAAATACTTTAGAATTTGTTGTCGTTTTCCCAGTGAATTTTTACAACTTTTAGAAGAAGAAACATCAGAACGGGTCCTATCAACCTCCACAATTTGACGAGATCCTCCTCCTCCCCTTGTTGTTGATTTTGGACTTGAAGGAGACACAACTTTTAAATTTTTAAGCGCCAAAATAGCATCGTTTTGTAATGCTTGGTTAGCCAATGAATTTGCAAGTTTTTGTTGTCTCAATTTTTCTTCCTTAAAATATTGTGGAAACTAAGAAATCAATGAGCTCCAGTAACCCAGGCATAGCTTCCTAGTGTTCTTCCCGACTCAGGATCCGGCCCGGGTCAACGGAGAACGACCCCTAACAATAAAACTAGCTGCTTGCCTTCATGTCTATTAGAGACGAGCTGGGCCTGGACCAAGACCTGGGTGTTTCCTTACCCAGAGTACAGGCCCAAGCATTTTTTGAACTTCCTGAGGTTTTCCTGGACCTGGGGTTTTCCTGGACTACAGGCCCAGGATTCGGCTCAGGTCAATAAATCAAATCCTAGAGACCAAAAACAGGCCTTTCAAAAATCTCGATCTCTAATGTTTATCAACTTTTAATATGGAAGGAAAGTAGCCCAGGATCCGGTCGAGGTCTCCACTGACCTGGACCGGATCCTTGGTCAAATCCTGCCCTAGACCCAGACCAAACCCCACAGATTCTCCTATCTAGATTTTTCTTGTCCTAGGACCGGCCAAGACCCACTACTTATCTCAGCGAGTGATCTGGGTGGTCTCCCTTCATAACCTAATTAATAGACCGGTCCTCCTACTTACATTAACCATAAATTTAAAAAAATAAACCTTATCAATAGCAGCAACTCTAATTTCACTATCCATACCAATTTGCCCAATTTCTGAACAAATTTGTTCCATTGGTGAAAGAACCGTTAACGTTGTACGTCTAACGTCTATAACAGAAATTATTCCAGCCATTTGAACAGCAAAAGGTTTTAAATGTTGAGAAATCTTTAAAAAATTTTCTTAAAAAAATTCAAAAATTTTCTAAAATAACCTTGAGTGCCTGTTGAGCCAATTTTTGTAAATGTTTCATTTCTTCCAATTTTTCTTTGACCAAATGTTGTTGTCTGAAAAATAAAGGTATTAAATTTTTAACGGCATTTGTGTTCATAAAATATCCCTAAAAATTTACGGACGTATTTTACGAACTTATTTTTTCACAAGAAAAATCCGCAAATATCTTGCGGATTGCCTTCATTAAAAATAGCACGCAAATATTTCAGACATATTTGATTCCTAAAGAAGTTAGAAAAAATTTGCGGATTTTTGCAGACATTTTCTACCTAACAATCCAATCAAAAGCTTATGAGTCCAAACGAATATAACAGATATTTGATTTAAAAAATAATAGAAGTGGGATTATGAAATATGATCGTTGTGAGTATTAAACATTTCATCTAAATAAATATTGTTTACTCAAAAATAAAATTTATATATAAAAATATTAAAATAAATAAAAACAAATGATAAGTTAAAATTCTAATATCATAATGAATTTATAGAAATTATGAGTCAATTTGAGAAAAAGGTAAATTAATAGTGGATTAAATGCTTCGTCAAATTTTTTAAAAATCGCGCCAAAAACAATAACGGCCTTCATGTTCTCCGTCATAATACAGAACTGAGATCATATTCAGAAATATACCTGTAGCATAGCTCATGAGAAATCATTCCATAAAGCTTATGCCCAACATCAACCCAATCGGCTTTCATTACAATCTTATCCTTCCCAAAACCATGTTCAAACTGTCCACAATCATCACCATTTTCCCGATCCTCATTCTCAACAAATTCAAGTTTCATGTCATCATGACCAATTTGACTATTCGAATAAGATACCTGACTAAAGAAAAAAACAGACATTAGGATTTCTCTATTTACTAATTTCCTATGAATTTACAACTTCTTATATTTGTGTAATGAACGGATGAAAGATTAAAAAAAAGACATATTTGGAATATATATTTTTGCCACACCCCGCCCATAAATTTTACTCTTTTTGTGCCAACCTGTTCTCCTCTCGACTCAGTTCCTTTTTTGCTGCTTTTTCTTCTTCTCCCCTCTTACACGCTGTCGTCCCTTTTACCCCTCATTTTTATCATTGTTTTTAAAAATAAATAAATGTTTTCGGGATTCTTTTAATTTTATCAA